TGGTAGCATATAAAATACTTCATGTTGCGGTTTTATTTTATGTTTAATGGTGGATATTTGGGGGGGGGGCTGCTCTGGGCTCTCATGAGGGGGACGGGCAAGATGGAATAATAATAATAGTAATAATAATAATAGTGGCAATCCAATTGAATGACATGGTGAAACGTATGCATAGATTTACATGCCAGTACACGTTCAGTGGAGGTATACCACTAGGTCATTTTCTCTGTGATCTTGGGTGATTAAAGAGTGGATTATAAGGGGGGAGATTTCTTTGTGGGCAAAAATGCCTTTCCGTATTCCATGCAAAAGAGCATTTGAATGGCTTTCGCCAGGAATGATGTGTCCTTCTGTATCTAAACCAGACTTTTGCTTATCGTGCAAGAGTTTACTTCTCGTTGCCCCAGCAGAAATCCCGTAAAACTTTCCTGAGTCCATAAAAGAAGCATGGAGGGTTTTAAAGGAAGAACTATTGATGTAAGCTTCACAGTTCAAGTTAAAGTTTAGTGGCCGGGGGGTGGGGTAGTTAACATTAAGAAGGGAGGAGGATGCCAAGTCCAACTAAACCAGAAGCACATTCACAAGTTCATTGTTTTTCTCTAGCTGATTTAACCTAGAACGTAACCCCTGCTTTCTGTACCGACAGATGCATTTTGGAACCACCGCTCTGTATGAACATATACGCACTGTTTGTGGAAACAGAACGTTGGTTGCAAAGTATGCTTAAGGGCCAAGGTTTCCTAAGGTGCGCCGTGTAAACCAAGAAAATACATAAACACACTAACCAGCTAAAAGCCTTCTATGGACCCCTGGGGAGGGAGAGGCGAAAAGGGCTGTCAGTTGCTCTTTGGACAAAGTACAAGGGTAAGCCTCTCTCTTTTGCAACTGGATAAAGTGAGACAGAAGGGGTCTAGGCAGAACGAGGAGTGGGAGTACTTTAGGGGTCAAGGAGGCAGGGGAGAGGAGGAGGAGGAGATACAGAAGTGATCCGTTTGGCTCCATACTGTGCCTCATTCTTTTCCAGATGGCAGCGACAAGCCCATCTGTGTCCCCCGGGGTCAGGCAGGCCAGTCCCTCCGCTCCAGCTATGTAACTGTTCTTGACAAAGGGGTCAAAGGGCACAGGGAAATGGAGGCGGTTGCCAAACTGGAAGAGCCATTGTTTCCTTCAGCCCAGTGGCCGGGTCTCAGACAATAGCAGCACCAGATGCACTAGCTAGAGAAAGTTGCAAAAATGACAGGTACGATAATCCTACTCTCTTTCATAACACCACCCTAAAATAAAATAAAATAAAAAGTATCAGTAGACTGAGTTTGGCATCAGAACAGGTGTGAGGTGCTTTTTTAAGCAATGCTGCCACAATCTGAATTTAAAAAAACCACAAAACACAGCATTATAATCAGGGGTCCCCTAGTTACAGTATTTTTCTTCTTCTCTCTCATGGTTTTCTGCTTCTATCAATACGCTTCTCATCATTGCTTGACAGAAACATTTGGGTTTCTAGGTACATTAGATTACTAGGTAAAGGTAAAGGACCCCTGACCATTAGGTCCAGTCGTGACCGACTCTGGGGTTGAGGTACTCATCTCACTTTATTGGCTGAGGGAGCCAGCGTACAGCTTCCGGGTCATTTGGCCAGCATGACTAAGCATAACCAGAACAGTGCACGGAAACGCCGTTTACCTTCCCGCCGGAGTGGTACCTATTTATCTACTTGCACTTTGACGTGCTTTCAAGCTGCTAGGTTGGCAGGAGCAGGGACTGAGCAACGGGACCTTACCCCATCGCGGGGATTCGAACCGCCGACCTTCTGATCGGCAAGTCCTAGGCTCTGTGGTTTAACCCACAGCGCCACCTTCATCCCTCACACATTAGATTACTGCAATGCATTATATGTGGGGCTGCCTTCAAAGATGGTTTGGAAACTGCAGCTGGTGCAGAATTTGCCAGCCAGGGCAAGACGGTCTGAGCACAGAACACAAATCTTGGCCCAACTGCACTGGCTACCAATGAGCTTCCAGGCCCAATTCCAAGGGCTGGTTTTATGTGGCTCAAGCCTCCAAAATCACTTACAGATTCACTGTGAAGACTGTTTTCATGGAAGGCAATCTTACTCAGCTACAAGTGATTGCCAAAGAAGACGACCTCAGGGATCACCTCGTCACATATGAACAACCCAAACCTTGTGTGCCCCTTCACAGAAGGTCTAGAGGGTGGTAACACTGCTTGTGGAATGCTCTCCGACTGTCCCCGACATTATTTATTTCCCACCAGGCCTTTGGCTTTTAATTATCTGCGGACTCCTTCAGTGTGTGGGATATTTTAATACTTCCCTTTAAAAATATGAATGTATTTCAAATTTTGCCATGTTGTGTTTCACGCTGTTTATAATGTATGTGTTACAGTGGTACCTTGGGTTAAGTACTTAATTCGTTCTGGAGGTCCGTACTTAACCTGAAACTGTTCTTAACCTGAAGCACCACTTTAGCTGATGGGGCCTCCTGCTGCCGCCACGCCGCTGGAGCACGATTTGTGTTCTCATCCTGAAGCAAAGTTCTTAACCTGAAGCACTATTTCTGGGTTAGTGGAGTCTGTAACCTGAAGCATATGTAACCTGAAGCGTATGTAACCCGAGGTACCACTGTATTTATTTATCGTTGTCACTTTGAGTTACATTGGTAAAGAAAGCAACTAGTAAGTTCAATAAAGGATGATAATAATAAGTAGCAGGAGAGGTTGCAGCAGTTCCTCGGCCCCCGTTTCTCCCCAGCCATGTTGCCTCCTCTTCTCTTCCATCTGCTGAGGCAAGCAGCGCTTCCGTTCTCCTCTACGGCTTATGGGGGAGGCGATGCAGCGATGGAATGGGTGGAAGGTGTGATGGAGAGAACATTCTGCATTGCAGGCGATATAGTTGCTGATTTGAAATAACTGGACAGATGAGACAGCAAACTGAGTCAGGATCTGCAGCAATATTTTACTCCGAGGTAAGGGTGTAAAAAGGGACACGGGTGGCGCTGTGGGTTAAACCACAAAGCCTAGGACTTGCCGATCAGAAGGTCGGCGGTTCAAATCCCTGTGACGGGTGAGCTCCCATTGTTCGGTCCCTGCTCCTGCCAACCTAGCAGTTCAAAAGCACATCAAAGTGCAAGTAGATAAATAGGTACCACTCCGGCGGGAAAGTCAACGGCGTTTCCGTGCACTGCTCTGGTTCTCCAGAAGCGGCTTAGTCATGCTGGCCACATGACCCGGAAGCTGTACCCGGAAGCCAATAAAGTGAGATGAGCGCCTCAACCCCAGAGTCGGCCACGACTAGACCTAATGGTCAGGGGTCCCTTTACCTTTACTTTTAAGGTGTAAAGCATGGGTAGGCAAATGAAGGCCTGGGGGCCAGATCCGGTCCAATCGCCTTCTAAATCCGGCCCGTGGACAGTCCAGAAATCAGCATGTTTTTACATGAGTAGAATGTGTCCTTTTATTTAAAATGCATCTCTGTGTTATTTGTGGGGCATAGGAATCCATTCTTTTTTTCAAAATATAGTCCGGTCCCCCACAAGGTCTGAGGGACAGTGGACCGGCCCCCTGGTGAAAAAGTTTGCTGACCCGTTGTAAAGGATTGCAGCCACAACTTAATTTATTGGTACAAATATGAATTCTAGAATTTGTCGGGGAACCCAAATTTTAATATCTGAACTATGAGTTTGCATTTTAGTTGTGACCCAAATGCTGAAACCCGTGTTTGTTGGTCATTGTGGTGGCGGCATTTGCAATAATGTAAACTGGTGTGAGAGGAGGGAGGCGATGGGTCAAACTTGCACATGCAGGGCACCTTGCTGTTTTTCTTTCCTATGTTTCTGGTTGAGGAAAGGAGAATGTTCTGCCAGGGGAAAGATCACAGGCTCCTCAAACAATATCTCTTACCTTCCCATCTCTCTCCCTGTCCCCCGCCAGCTCCAGCCCCCGTTTCTCAGTGATATATTTTCCATTTGGGTCTGGGGGAACCATTCCACAGAAGGCAAAAGCAAAGACAGGGAAGTTTACATGCATAGGTGATGATATCATATTTGGGTCATATAGAAACAAGGGAAATATTTAGAATTGGGATTAAATGCATGTAACAACTGGACTCTGTTGGAAACAACAAGAGCTATAACTAGGGCCAGATCTATATGAAGTCACCAGCCTTGCCTGGAAAGAAAATGAACTTCCTCTTCCACACCCAATTCTTTTCTAGGAAAGTCCTGTTTGTTTTGCGTGGTCTTAACTGGTCCTAGTGATCACGGCTTCGCCTTTGGAGGCCGGAGGGGAGGCTGGCGGTAGAACAGAAAGACTTCCCATTTCTGTAACAGACTCGTGTTTACTCACCTGAGCCACTTCCCCCCGCTCACTTTAGCATAGCTGTCAACGTTTCCCTTTTTTCAAAAGGGAAATTCCCTTATTCCGAATAGGAATGTCCCTTAAAAAAAAGGGGGGGGGGGGAAACGTTGACAGCTATGCACTTTAGGGAAGATCGCGCTCTCATTATAGTTTTTGAAAACTTTGGTCCCGCCCATGCTGCTTCCGCTGTCTACTCGGAGGCGCTGCTGGCTCGCTAGCTTTAAAAAAAAAACCCACGTTTGATCAATTTGCTGCTCTTGATTGACAGGCAAGAACTTGCTCATCTTTTATTGCTTTGCACGGCCGATAAATGCATGCACTGATTTCCCTGGAGCGCTGCAAACGCTCCTTGCTCTAGCGTTTAGCTTTTAATTTTGGGGAGGGCAATTGCAGCCGGCCTGGAAAGAGCAAGCGCACGGAGCGGCGGCTTCTAGGAAGCCCCCCCCCCACTCCGGCCGCCCACCCCCGAGGAGGCGTGGCCTGGGCCGCCCTTCCCTTTCCCTCCGGCAGCTGGAATGTTTGTTAGGTAAACACCGCATAGTAGAGTTTCTGGCGCCGCCCACCCCCGTTCCCCCCCCCCCCCGCGCCTCGCGCCGGACCAATCGCGAGGCCGGAGCGGTTTCAAGGCTGCTCTCTCTGCGTGGAGAAGCCCCCGGACGGGCGACAAAATAACAAAAGCTTTGGAACGTTGCAACCTCGAGCGGGGCTCCCCCGCAGCTGCGCCTTCGCCCTGCGCGCCCGGCGCGGTGCCCAGTTCCGGGGAGCTGTCAGGCGGGAGGCGAGCTGCAAAAAGGGAGCTGCTGCTGCGGCTGGTTGTTTATCTGGAGGAAGGAGGAGGCGGGGGGACTGGAAACCGCCTGTGTCCCATTTCCTCTCTCTCTCTCTCTCTCGTGTGTGTGTGTGTGTGTGTGTGGCCGGCCCCCCTCCTTCCTCTCCTCCCTCCCTCCCTCCAGCCCTGGATTCTCCATGTTGGACCCGATCTGAGGAGCATCTGCGTCGCTGCCTTCGCGCGCGGCTTCCTCCGGGGTTGGGCAACTGAGGAGGGAGTGGGCGACATCGTGCTCCCTTGCGCTCCCCCCACCCCACCCCGTTCCTCCTCCTCCTCCTCCTCCTCCTCCTCCCTGGACATTTCCCTCCTTTCCACCCCCCTCCTCCTTCCTCCTCCTCCTCCTCCCTCCAACCAAAGGATCCCCAGGGTCTGTGGGATTGTTAGATGGAAAGCCGGTCCATCATCACCCAAGTGCAAAGGGACGAAGCCTTGGTGCTTTCGAAACAAGGTAAGGGGACGGCGGGACTTGGAAAGTTTGGTGGGTTTTCGCTTTTCCCTTTCGGCGGGGCGGCGAGGGTGTGTTTGTGTGTGTGTGTTTTGCGCGCGCTCTGCTCTCGATCCTTGCGGGGCAGGGAGATCCCTTGAACCCTGGCGGGGGAGGAAAGGCGTGCACGCGCCCTGAAAACACTCACATATTTCCCCCCCAACACCCCTTCTCACCCCAGTTCCTGGGGAAGCCTCCCCTCTTACACAACGCTGTCCCCATTTTTATACGGACGATCCATGTTGCTTCCCTGGCTGTCATTTCCCCATCTCTTCTAAATCGATAGCCCTTTTGGCAGAGACGTCGTTGTTGTCCCCCAAAATTAGATCTCTCCTCACCCCGCCCTTCCTCGCTAGGTTTTTTTTGGGGGGGGGGGAGTATGGTGCTTTCTTCCTGCGCTGGTTTCCCACTGCGGGGTGGGTGCGAAAAGGCGAGGGAGGGGGGCTTGTTTTTGTTGCTCCGAATCGCCGCCTCCCCCCCCCCCGTGCTACCCCAATGCCTGTTCTTGAGAGGCTGGGATTTGGGGGATTTCCCCTCCCCCCCCCAAAAAAATCCCAGTTATGTGGCAAGAGCCATTCCAGCGTTTGTTTTTCATACGACCTCCCCCCCCCTGCCCGGCGCGCTCTCTTTTGCGCGCGTGCGTAAGACACGCGAATCGCTCATTTTGCTTCCGAACCGATCAGAATGTGAAGCGTGTCTTGATTTCCTCTCCCCCCCCCCCTTCAAATCGGAAATTTTAAATGCCCATCTATAGGCATGATTCCTGACGACCTGTCGGGTAGCCGCCCTTTAATCTGGACTCGAGTGAAAGCGAAGTTCTTCACCAGGCAAACCTCCAACACCCCCCCCCCCACATGTTGTTGTTGTTTTAAATCCTGTGGACTAGCGTCCTCGAAAATGGACGTGGTTCTGTGTCTGGATATTCCACGCTTCTTTTCCCCATCTCCCGATGCGTAGGATGCGCAGGGAGTCGAGTGGGAGTACTATTAGGGGCATTTGAGGCTGACAGTTTTGGGTTTAGTGTGTCAAGGAAACCGGTCTGCTTCTTGCAGTTTCTTCCCCAGAGTACTGACTCCACCTTTTAATCAGCATTTTCCTCAGTGGTGAAAAATGCACCGTGTTTCATATTTTTAAAAGATGGCTTGTTTGGGGTGTGTGTGTTTTTAAACCAGTTTCCTCCTTGGAGGAGGTGGCTCCCAAGACCTGAGTGGAAGCACTGGCATTTTTTCCTTTGCCACAAACCTCTCTCTCTCCTCTCTCTCTCTCTCTCTCTCTCTCTCTCTCCCCTTTTATTTCTGCCTGTGTTTATTCAGCTGATGTTTGCTGTCCAGCCTTTGCTTCTCAGCTATTGGCGGGCAGCTTCCCCTCCCCTTATGTTCTTGACAGAAGGGGCCTCTAGAATTCCTATTGCAAAGGGCTAAGCATCACAGGGTGGGGTATAAAAGGGGGGGGGGCGATGGACGCTGTCCTCTGTTGGGTGCATCTGACTGATCGCCCTGTTTGATGCTGGGCAGCCTGACCCGAATGCATTGCTTTTTACTTGCAAGAACATCCCATGGGACTTACTCCCAAGTCAGTGTGCATGGGATCACAGTCTTACAGCAAGGCTGACGTTCCCTTGCCTTCTCTGTAGGCTTAGGCTGCAGGTTTGTTTGTTGCCCTAAATGCTCCTGGACAGATCTGCTTGCAAAATAATAGAAGTAATAACAATAAACAAACAAACAATACTCTTTGGGGTGTGTGTGTTTTTGGTGTGGTTATTTATACTTCTGGAGAGTGTTAACGGCACATTTTTCTCTTAATTTCTCTTGACTCTTGGTAAGGTGGGGAGACACACACAGGATTTTCCAAAAGAGGTTGTGGAATGCCAGTTTTTACCCTAGAAGTTCTGGGACCTCATTGGGCAGGAAGTCCTTGGCTTCTGAATTTTTGTCATTTACTGCTTGGTTGTTGTTTTTTTCTTGTGCTGGTCCTGTGTGTGTCTGTATGTGAACCCTGTGAAGTGTCCGTGGTCTTGACAGAGATGTTTTCTAGATCTAAATTTCAGCCATCTGGAAGGCTACAGAGGTTGCTGTGTGTCTCTTTTTTAATGTATTGTGATTTAATGAGTGCCATCCCTTTATAGAATCAGAGTTGTCAAGTGGGAAGGGACCACAAGGCTCACCTCGTCTACCCCCTGCAATGCAGGAATTATTTGCCCAACATGGGGCTCGAACCCACGGACTAAGCTATCCTAGGCCCTTAGTTTAGTTCTATGGAGTGTGTTGATTTGGGGAAAGTAGGGTTCTGGTACGTTTGGTAAGCTTTATGACCTCTTTTGGACCACTTGAGAGCTTTGCATTCAGCTTGAGTGACCACCTGTTTAGAGAAGCGAAAGTGCCTGGTTTTGAGGATTTAGGCTGCAATAATCCTATGTCTGCATACTTGGAAGCAAGTCCCACTGAATTCAGTAGGTCTTGAGTAAACATACATAGGATTAAGCTGTGTATAAGAGGGGTGGACGCAGCTGGAGTTTCGAAAAGCTTTCCCTGCGGCTTGTATTTGCTGTTTGTGTTATCTATTCTTAATTCATGCTAATTATTTTTCATTTTCTATAAACTGCTTAGTGGAGTTTGTCTGAAAAGCACTTAAAAAAACATATTAAATTAACGAATAATACAGTGCTGACTGTTGGTTACTGGAGTAAAGAAAAATGTTGAGGAAAAAATTTTAAGTCTATTTTTCCTTTTCATGTTTCTTTGCTTCCTGTTGATCCCTGAAAAGGGGTTCAGTTTTTCTTCTTGCACATCTCAGCTCTGTCCCATTTCCCAGGCTTTTTTGACTTGTCCCTGTTAAGGAAAATGGAGGCTGTGATGGCAGTCGCCCAGGAGAGGAGAGGACTAACTTGGATATGGAATTCTCTTGCGGATAAACAAGAGGCAAAACAGAGAAGGCCCAGTGGGGCCAGAGTGTTTAGGTGCGCTAGTTAGCGACAAGATGACTCCAGCTTTCTCCAGGTGTCAGAGGTTACTCTTGTAAAACTAATAAGCAAAATTAGGGTTATTTACTGGTCCTGGTTTCTGGTCTTTTTATAGCCAATGCATTTAAATGGAGGCTATAGATAATGATGTGTCTCTGTGTGTAGTCTCTGTGGGTGGCACCGAGAATGCAAGTCACTTTTACTGGCTCCAGCAGCAACAGGCAAGGATTTTGAGTGGTTCGCTATAATCTCTTTATCGTGGGAATGTGCCCCTGTTTGGTTTTGGGTCCTCGCCAGCCGTTTAGAGAAAGGAAGAGCTGCTCTTTTCAGTACAGTACCGCCTTCTTATGGATTTCACATTTACAAAAAGGCCCAGAAGAAAGCTTGAGTTTCATGTCAACCAGAGCAGGGACTAACTCAGAAGAGAGATTTTACCAAGGAGAGGTTGTGCTGGCAGGATCTAGGAGCTATCCTGAAGGAACTGGGGATATTTATCCAAGGCTTTTGGGTGGTGAGGAATGATAAAGAAAATGTACTGTTGACAGTTCTCAGCTATTGAGGAACGGATGTCCAGCAAGATAAGATGGTGGAAGGAATTCATAGATCATTGTTTTCAGTCACTGCTCTTTGACTGAGGAACTCCCTTCCCTTCGAGGTCTAGGAAAGGTCAGCTCAGAATGGTTCCTTGGCTGAACTTGGCTCTGAATGGCTGGGTTAGGGATCAAACAGGTTCAATTTCCCTATTATGTGAAGAAATTTGATTAACTGATTCCCTCTCCCAATTGCATTATTATTATTAGGAACTTATTGTGTTTTAAGTCACCTTGGATTCCAGGAAGAAGCTGGCTGGAAAGGGGAAATGAAAATAAAGAAATGATTTTGTGTATGAGAAGCAAATGGGTGTGAAACGTAGATGCAGCACAGATAGCACAAAAAGGCCTTCCTCCTGTATCCTTAAGAGTTCAGGGAGGTCACTGGTTCACTGACACATGGCTGAGAGACTCCTGGAGTCTCAAACTGGGGGTGGGAAATGTTCCCACGATCAGGAGCTGCTATTTGGGCCATTGAGATTTGTTATTGCTATTGCTAGGATCTGCGTAGAGATTTCCCCCCTGGATAGTTGTGTCATTTCTCTTGGACTGTTTAGGATAAAATCAGTTTAGGCTTGTGGTTCTCAAACTCTAGGCTGCAAGCCTTTGTGCAAGTCTTTCCTTGAAATCCATGTAACCAAATGGAAGAGTCTAGCTGCATTATTTTTAATTTTTTTCAAGGAATAAACAAAGCCCTCTGTAACTTCCAATGTTGGGGTTGGGGATTGAGGCTGTTATCTTGAATATGGTTGCAGATATCTCACAATACAGTATTCAAGCATAAAGGTGGGTTAAAGCAGGGGTAGGCAACCTAAGGCCCAGGGGCCGGATGCAGCCCAATCGCCTTCTCAATCCGGCCTGTGGATGGTCCGGGAATCAGCGTGTTTTTACATGAGTAGAATGTGTCCTTTTATTTAAAATGCATCTCTGAGTTATTTGTGGGGCATAGGAATTCGTTCATTTCCCCCCCACAAAATATAGTCCGGCCCACCACATGGTCTGAGGGACGGTGGACTGGCCCACAGCTGAAAAAGGTTGCTGACCCCTGGCTTAAAGGGTAGGATTGAATACGAATGCTTGCATGATCCTCCCCTTCATGTTTTCTTCCTCCCCGCCTCCCAGTTTAAAGAAATGCATAAATACTCAGTGGACAAGCATTCTTCACACTCATATACACCTCCTTAAAGGTAAAGGGACCCCTGACCATTAGGTCCAGTCGTGACCGACTCTGGGGTTGCGGCGCTCATCTCGCTTTATTGGTCGAGGGAGCCGGCGTACAGCTTCCGGGTCATTTGGCCAGCATGACTAAGCCGTTTCTGGCGAACCAGAGCAGCGCACGGAAACACCGTTTACCTTCCTGCTGGAGCGGTACCTATTTATCTACTTGCACTTTGACGTGCTTTCAAACTGCTAGGTTGGCAGGAGCAGGGACCGAGCAACAGGAGCTCACCCCGTCGCGGGGATTTGAACCGCCGACCTTCTGATCGGCAAGTCCTAGGCTCTGTGGTTTAACCCACAACGCCACCCGCGTCCCTTATACACCTCCTTAGAGGTGCTTATTCCATCTCCAGGTAGCTGTCTTGATGTGCTTCTGGAGTCCAGCTCTCATCATCCCTCACCATGGATCATGCTGGTGGAAACTGATGGGATTTGGAGGCCGCAGGTTCCCCCACCTATACTCAGACCAATCTGAGCCTCTTCTTGCAGAGTCAGGGATTGAGACCATACAGTGAAAGTGTGTGTGTGTGTCTCTGTGTGTAAATCTCACATCCCTAGGTGCCTGCACCATGATTTTTGCCACTAGCTCTAAAAAGAGCAGACATCAAGCATGCAAACAAAGACATTTTGACCCACAAGCTGTTACCTCTTACCCTAGGTGGGTGTGGGCAGACTGCAGTCAGCTGGCAGTGATGGAAATCTACTCAGAGACGCCTCTGTTATTAAAGCATATGTCCCAGGACTGGTAATACAGGTCAGCAGGGCTTAAATGAAGGCCTGAGCAAAGGTGGAAAACCGAAAATGGGGAGGGGGAGGGGGATGGTTCATATGGAAGAGCATCATTGATTCCTCTGGGCTTAGAGGAAACGGCCACCCATAATGGAAAGGAAATAGGACAGCAATGTAAGTCTTGACAATACAGTATCTAGGAAAGCCAAGCCCTGGGTAGGGGAAGAGTCAAGGAAGACCTTCCCAAAATCTTGCCTGCTGTCCTCAGAGAGAGAGAGAGAGAGGGAGAGAGATAGATGTCTTGCTGGTTGAAAAATATAACTCAAAACACATCGGGCAACTTGCTAACCAGAAAAGCTGTGTTTTGTTTCTCCGTATATTTATTGATTTTTTGTGTGTGTGTAATGTAAATGTTGTACAAATCAACATAAAAACAGTAAAATAATACAAAAACAGAAATTAAGTGGTGTGGGGTCCAGTCTTGTGGATCAGCTGCCCCCCCCCCCCCACATTTGAAGCAAATTACTGATGATGTTTCACATGTACAGTGGTACCTCAGGTTAAGAACTTAATTCGTTCTGGAGGTCCGTTCTTAACCTGAAACTGTTATTAACCTGAAGCACCACTTTAGCTAATGGGGCCTCCTGCTGCTGCCAGAGCACGATTTCTGTTCTCATTCTGAAGCAAAGTTCTTAACCTGAGGTACTATTTATTTCTGGGTTAGCAGAGTCTGTAACCTGAAGTGTCTGTAACCCGAGGTACCACTGTATGTGTATGTGATACACACACACACAGTCCTTTTGTTGTAAGCCTTGCACCAAGACATAGTGAGCAGCAGTGGTATTCTTGTGTGTGGTTCCTTCCTTCCAGGAAATGGCGGGTTCTCCACCCACCATCTGCCTAATGCTTTTCTTGTTCTCAGAGGCAAAAATTTCCCCAGTGCTATCCCTGACCCCGTTCTCTGTTCTGAGGAAGGCCCCTCTGACATCGGCACCAGAGCATCTAAGGAAGTCCTCCTGTCCACCCCCCATCCCGGCATGGCTATGAGTGGTGCTGCAAGCCTTCCTGAGATTTTCCTTCCTTCCAGCGAGAGCCAGTGTGGTGTAGTGGGTAAGAGCGATAGACTCGTAATCTGGTGAACTGGGTTCGCGTCTCCGCTCCTCCACATGCAGCTGCTGGGTGACCTTGGGCCAGTCACACTTCTCTGAAGTCTCTCAGCCCCACTCACCTCACAGAGTGTTTGCTGTGGGGGAGGAAGGGAAAGGAGAATGTGAGCCGCTTTGAGACTCCTTCGGGTAGTGATAAAGCGGGATATCAAATCCAAACTCCTCTTCTTCTTCTTCCAGCCCCCCTCCCCTTCCCTGGCAGGGAACCCAGGGATGTAAGCTCTGGTCCATGTAAGGTCCCGTCCACACCATGGCGGTACCATGCCACTTTAAACATCCATGTCACCCCACTCCATCCTGCCCCAAAGAATCCTGGGAACTGTAGTTTGTGAAGGGTTTGGGGAGTTTAACTCTTATCAGTTGTAGCTTTTGATAGTAAAGGTAAAGGAACTACTGGCCATTAGGTCCAGTCGTGACCGACTCTGGGGTTGCAGCACTTTATTGGTCGAGGGAGCCGGCGTACAGCTTCCGGATCATGTGGCCAGCATGACTAAGCCGCTTCTGGCGAGCCAGAGCAGCGCACGGAAACGCCATTTACCTTCCCACCAGAGTGGTACCTATTTATCTACTTGCACTTTGACGTGCTTTCAAACTGCTAGGTTGGCAGGAGCAGGGACCGAGCAACGGGAGCTCACCCTGTCGCGGGGATTCTGATCAGCAAGTCCTAGGCTCTGTGGTTTAACCCACAGCGCCACCCGTGTCTGTAGCTTTCGATAGACCTGTCCAAACTTGGGTCTCCAGCTGTTTTTGGACTACGACTCCCATCATCCCTAGCTAGCAGGACCAGTGATCAGGGATGAGGGAAACCGTAGACCCAAGTTTGGGAAACACAGCTCTACAGCTTTACTTTATTTTCTTTTTTGAAAGACTTTTGAACAAACTACCGTATTTTTCGCTCTATAAGACGCACCAGACCACAAGATGCACCTAATTTTTGGGGGAGGAAAACAAGAAAAAAAAATATTATGAATGTCAGAAGCCAGAACAGCAAGAGGGATTGATCCACTGCACAGAGAAAGCAGCAATCCCTCTTGCCGTTCTGGCTTCTGGGATACCTGCGCAGCCTGCATTCGCTCCATAAGACGCACACACATTTCCCCTTACTTTTTAGGAGGGAAAAAGTGAGTCTTATAGAGCAAAAAATACGGTACTTTATCCATGCTTCTGGATTTAAAACATCAGTTCCAATACAATCAGATATCCTTAGGAGAATATCCAACGACATAAAAATGGGATGCCTAGGATTCCACGCATACATGCAGGACTCTGTGCTGGCCGGGTGCCAAAGCATTTGATATCAAAGCGTAGACGGTGGGGGTGGCGAAGGGTTTGTCTGGGTTGTACATATCCATTTCCACTTTCCCTCCCCACCCCCAGTCTGCTTAGAAGAGAGTTTTGCTTTGTATCCTGCGGAAAAGAGAGTAGAGAGAACAGATGTTATCATCGGTTGGTAGCAGCAACACAGGTTCATTCCTAATTATTGTAGTTCTCTACACTTGGTAGCTTGCAGTGTCGCCTGACAAGCCGGTTGGGTGGGTACCTTTTTGGGGAGGGGAGAAATGTCGACTTGGAGATTGCTACACCTTACAGCTTCTTTGGTTGTAGCTCCAGTTATTTCACCTCCACCCTGTTCACATTTCAAGTAAAGTTTGAAAGCCCCTCCCCAGGAATCGTAAGGCAGTGAGAAGCTGGGTGCGCAAGCATTGTAACCCTGCGCAAAGCCCATCCCCGGAGGGAGTTTGGAGCGTCTAATGTTCAGCGAGTCCCGCTGAATTCTGCACATGCCCCTAAAACACACACAATATAGCGCTGCACCACAAGGAACATTCATTCAGTAAAACTGGGGTGCAAAGCTCTTGTCATTCTCCTCAATTTTTTAATGAAAATAGGTAAAAACGATATTAACAATGTCAGTTGCCATACATCTGGATTTTCCCAGGCATTTAGCTGATTTCTGCCCAGACACTGCTTCCAACCAGCGGTGTAGCGTGGGTTGTCAGCACCCGGGGCAAGGCAAGTAATTTGCGCCTCCTAACCCGGGGCAAGGCAAGTAATTTGCGCCCCCTAACCCAGGGCAAGGCAAGTAATTTGCGCCCCCTAACCTGCCGCCGCTGCCAGCTTCTTCTTGCTGCTGCCTGGTCTGGTCTGGTGTGGTTCTCTCCCGCGCTCAGCGCTGCGCTGGGCGGCCGCTGCACTGTCCCTCCCCCCAGATAGTCCCTCGCTCTCTCTCCGCACCGCACGCCTGGCACCCACCCCCTCCACAGTGGGCGGCGACCCAGCGGCTCGGATCGGATTTGCACAGCCAGCACTGCAGTGAGAGAGAGTGAGTGAGCCAGGTAGGGGCAGAGAGCTGCGAGTGCGAGCGCGCCCCCCCCAGATGTTGCGCCCGGTGCGGCCGGCCCCCCCCCTGCACCCCCCACGCTACGCCACTGCTTCCAACTGCAGTATTCTGAGTATGTCTGTATGGCAACCCTGGATAAATACTTTCATTGTGTTTCCTCTCCCTTTTATATCCCAAGAGTAGGGGGATAGAGAGAGGGGTGTACGTATATGCATAGAAACTAGCCTACAATTTGAAGCATAAAATTTGCACCCATTGCTCCACCCACTTTTCCCTCTGGCCCTTCCCACCACTGGAACTCAGACCCGAGAAGGTTGAACAGAAGGGAATGTGGTCCCTGACCTCAAAAAGCTTCCCCGTCCCTGGACTTGAGACTTGGTTTATTTCAATGGAAAGGCCACAGATGTCCCGGAAGTAGTCAATTTGCCGTGTAAAGACCCTGCCTCCTCCCACCCCCTGCCACAGGGTCACAGCCCTCATGTGAAGTGTCACAGCTTGCACAGGAGGGAGCTTGCCCCTCAACTTTCTCAAACTTGGATCTCCAGTTCTTGTTGGACTACAACTCCCATCATCCATAGCTAGGAGGACCAGCCGTCAGGGCTGATGGGAGTTTGACAACAGCTGGGGACCCAAGTTTAAGAACACTGCTAGACCCTAGGTCCTCAGGTATGGCCAAACGAGGCCCTCCTGATGTTTTTGGGACTACAATTCCCATCATCCCTGACCACTGGTCCTGTTAGCTAGGGATGATGGGAGTTGTAGTCCCAAAACATCTGGAGGGCCAAGTTTGGCCATGCCTGCCCTAGGTCTAGGACATACTCTCTAGCACTGAACTCCCAATCCCAAGAAGTCCACACAATATCTTGCACACATTTGAGCTTCACGTAGGGTTGTCACTGACTGCCTTGCCGCCCTCCACCCTCTATATCTGTGTGTATCTGTATCTTCTAGGCAATGGAACAATCTTCCAGCAGAGATTTGGGAGGCGCCCTCTTCGCTTTCCATTTTCAGGCGTGTCTTGAAAACCCCAAATATGTATGCAACACAAAATGATTGCCTGATCAAAAGCATAATTGCTGCACATCACTTGGTTGTGTTATATGAACTGTCAGTGTATAAATACCTTTTATAAACAAGTAAATATGTCTGCAATGTACACACTCACCAAGTGAGAATAATGCTTCATGCACTGAATGAAGTGACCCCTGTTCCAGCTTTATATTGTTAACCCATAAGGTGTCAATAGGATTTGTCTGTTTTGTTTCTGCAAAAGATGTGATGCGGTGAACCCCCTGGAAGTTACTACTGCAAGTTTGTGCTCTGTAGACGCTTCCATCTCTCTCTGCCTCTCTCTCTCTGTCTGTCCCCCTCTTGAAGTGCAAGTGGATTTATATTCTTGTAACTTAATACAACTTTAGTGGACAAATGGGGACTGTGGTCTAAAGCTTGCGAAATCCCAGGTGCACAATATATTGCTTGGCTGCCTAAAAATACGTTGCTGGTGCCTAAGAATTTGAAGAATGTCTGTGTCTTTGATGGGCATGCCTTTACACATAACAGTGACGTAAGTATTCATTTGTGTGTCGTTAGCAAGTTCCCAGCGTGCACAGAAATTAAGGATGCCTTACAAACAGTGGAGCGCTTTTAAGGCTACTCTTACGAAAAGTCTAAGTTCTCATTGCTCAGAAGCTGTCGTGCCAAGGAATAAATAAAACCCGACTGCTGCCCCGTCTTGCATGCCTATTAAACAAGTAGCGCACAGGGCCAAATGTGCTTTACTGTGTTAGGCTGCAGGAGTCAAGGCAAAGGACGCCACTCTGGCTGGTCTTGCTCAGTCTCTGAACTTAGGGTTGGAATTCAACCAAGTTGTTGTGTGTCCGGAACAAGGTCTGCTTTCAATGCCCCCCCCCTCTTAAAATCTACTCTGGAGGGTTAGAGGAAGCCTTCCCCCAACTGATTTAGGGGGTGCACAGAGGGAGGAATGGGTGGTGGTAGACGTCCCATTGCAGGAGCAAGCTTTGTTCCTTGCATGCGTACCCCACAATACTATGATGAATTCCACCCTAGACCTAATATCTTAACTACAGTCGTATCATACAACACGTTCGGAAACCAAAGCGCGGCTTCTGATTGGCTGCAGGAAGCTCCTGCAACCAATTGAAAGCCGTGCCGGAGGTTTGGCTTTCGAAAATTGTTCGAAAACTGGAACACTCACTTTCGCGTTTGCTACCTTCGGGAGCCAAAACGTTCGAGAACTAGGCTGTTCTAAAACCAAGGTACAACCGCACTCACAATATGCTGCATGAGAACATTGGAGCACAGGCCATCTATTTTGGCAGCCTGTTCTCACAGTGGCCACAAGTGGAAAATCCACAAGCAGGACATGTGTAAAAAGCACATGTTCCATTTATGTTCCTCATGCACGATCACTTGATTTTGCACTTTTCTGCAAAGCAGGAAGTCCCTATTTCCCTACAATGTTGATGTTTAATGGTAAAGAATGGCATACATTTCATTTTTTAAAAAAAAAATCCTTACGTTCAGGGCTAAGAGAGTTTTAAAAGCACTACAGAAATGCCCCTGTTATCCCTCCCTTGCAACTAAAAGCACGTTTAACATTTCTTTTTTGGGGGGGCGGGGGGAGATGTCTTGCATCTCTCCTGAAATACGCCTAGGCTCTGACTTTGGCAGACCTCCAAGTTCTCTTCCTAGGAAACTAGCAATTGGTGTTAAGCTGAGGGTGACTGAAGGAAAAGGATTGACTGCTTGCCAGAGTTTGCAGGAGGCAGCTGCTGCATATGGTCCAACTAGAACCAGTTGCACCTTGAGAGGGGTTAGCAAGATCCACCTGACAACCTCACTAGCTTTCAGCCAGCAAAACAAAGCCCAGCCACCTGCTGCCACCACAACAACAGGGTGATGCTGTCTTTGAAGCTGTGTGACATTGGGACGGGGGAGAAACTCCCCTTTCCATTATCGCAGAATAATGTAGGTTCTTGTGAATAATGTTGATTATCATGAAGATTCTGCTTCCTCGAAACCTGTAGGGGAAAACAAAGAAACCCTGGAGCTGCCTGAGTAGCTTAAGAATGACCATGACTGGCTGTTTAAAAATAAAAGACGTTATGCACAGGCAATGAAGGTTGGAGAGAAGTGAGATGTTGGTGGTAATTCTGAATGTATTTCTGAGCTTTTTGTGTCTCTGCTGCCTTTGCTGTGATGCTGGAAATCTTCACAGTACCCTGATTCAGACGAATATATCTTGGCTTAAGAACAAACGGTTGGTCTGTGCACATGGCTCCTTCGCATCTTCTTTTGCAGTTTGCATGAACACAGGAGTCCCTAATTAACCATTGCTTCGTGTTTCAGGATCCTGGCACATTCTGAAACTGGTAACCATGGTTTCCCGGTTTGGATGAAACAGGAAACTAAGGATAATTGGATGCATCCTGGTTTAATTACATCTTCCGCCATAGGCTGCTCGTGGGGGCAAAAGCCTCATTCGTATCTCATTGTTAAGCTGAGCTTTGATCATCCGAACACAGCCAGCCAGAATACATTAGAATCCCCCTGTAAGGTTGCTGGTTCCCTCCTATGGATGGACAATTGAAGTGCTCTGGTTCCAGTTCAGTTACCGTAATTCTTCTGGAGACAGTGGGACACTGTCTGGCAACAACTCCCATCAGTCCCAGCCAACATGGCCCAGTGGTCAGGGGGAATAGGAGTTGTAGTCCATCAACATCTGGAGGGCCACAGGTTCACCAATATATACATAGTACTCTTAATGGGGATGCTGATTTGTGTGTGTGTGAAATGTGGAATTCCTGTGACAGAAACGCTTCCTTAGTGGCAGACATTTGTATTCTGTTCAACACATGATCCTGCAGGGGTTTGCGCACCAATGGAACAAGATGTCGCAGAATTTGGATCTCCAACTTCTGGTGACCAAGCTCATTCCATATTGGGTAACGTAGTTCTATATTATTTTGCACGATATTATGTAACCCGAGGCAGGCTAAAATTCAGAAGATGGACAGATGAACCCAGTGAATGGGAAGACCTCCTCCTGTAATGTTAATGTATACAAAATGGTGCAGAACGTAGGGCTGGGCTCAGATATACATGCTCCTCTCTTGATGGTGGCACCATCATCATCAAATAATGACTTGCATAAGTGATTGGCCTATTATGTGGCTAGTCAATCTAATGCCTCACAGATGTTATTGGGCTTCTATTCCCGTTAGCCCTAGCCAGCTTGGCCAATGTTCAAAGATTGTGGGAGTTTCAGTTCAGCAGTAACTTTAGGGCACCCTCTAGCTACCTTTGGAAGAGGACATCATGGCTACAGCATCACAGAGTTCTTGTTTTCCACCCCACTGACCAGACCCAGACCAGCTTAACTTCAGCAAGCGTGTGGCCTAGTGTGCCTTCTGGTCACAACCCTGGGACCTGCACAACTTTCATCCAGGGGCTGCATGATGCTCCAAAAGGAGTTTTGTGCTGTAGCTGCTTTTCCAGCTGGAGTTGTAGGATCGGATTTAAGGGACCTGCTCCCTAGACCACACGGCTCTTAATTCATTCTGTCCTCTCCTGAAGCTGTTTTTGTCAGAGTGACTCGAGCCACTCGTGTGTGTGTGATATTTAATACATCTGCCTGATGACGTGTGGATGGATCCATGTAGAAATACTAACATTCTTGCCCAGTCTCCCAACTGCAGTTCATTTTGATTGGCACCTCCTGCTTGCAGCTACAGTCAGCCTTTTGGGTAGCAACCAAGGCTACCCAGATAGGACATACCCCAATGCGGACATAGTCTCCCTTTTTTGCATTATGGTTCTGATGCCCTCATAGTGATTTTCAAGTGTGACGTGGGGCACATGGCACCCTACCATTCTCCCCTGTTTTGACTCTATGGTTTTTTTTACCATCTTAGAAATGTCCCCTTAATCTGGACTATTGTCTCATGACATGTGTTATGTTCTCTAGGTTGCATTTTATTGGACGGGGGAACCTGTGATCTTACCTGTGCCATTTGGTTGCTGTGGGTTAAACCACAGAGCCTAGGACTTGCCGATCAGAAGGTCGGCGGTTCAAATCCCCGCAACAGGGTGAGCTCCCGTTGCTCGGTCCCTGCTCCTGCCAACCTAGCAGTTCAAAAGCACGTCAAAGTGCAAGTAGATAAATAGGTACCGCTCCAGCAGGAAGGTAAACGGCGTTTCCGTGTGCTGCTCTGGTTCGCCAGAAGCGGCCTAGTCATGCTGGCCACATGACCCAGAAGCTGTACGCCGGCTCCCTCAGCCAATAAAGCGAGATGAGCGCTGCAACCCCAGAGTCGGCCACGACTGGACCTAATGCTCAGGGGTCCCTTTACCTTTACCTTATCTGAGTCTCTAACACTGGGTTGCAGGCTCCCTGCTTTTACAGGTATAGGCTGTTATCCTAAGAAGAGAGTGAGTGCAATTTAGGACCGATTGAGTTCACCAGGTACATAGGCGTAGAGAACCGTACAGGACTGTGTCTGTAGCCTTTTGTGACACGTTGGTCTGGATTGCATGGGCTGATGTGGCAAGAGGCAGGCAGTGAGGAAACTGTCCCCTGTTGTGTCCTGGAGCTAGAAATTTTGTGACAGCAGTGGGACGTATGGCTGCATCGAGGGAGGAGAAGGAATCCTGTGTGGAAGAACAAAAGCTTAAACACAGTCTTTGCATAATGTATTGAAAGTGGTGTGCAGTTCCTTAAATCACTTTCAATAAAATTTACAAGCCAAGTGCTTGTCAGTCTCTGCCCAGCCCAGACCCTGAGGTTTACAGCAGGGGCGATGGGTCCAGTTGCCGTCTGTGGCCCCAACATCTAGGTTGTTGTGAGGATAAAATGGTGGCGAAAACAGCCCTTTTCTTCTCTGCTTTGTAGAGGAAGGATGGGATAGGAATGTAATAGAATATTTATTCATCTTAAGACCTTTGCACGAGTTGCCAGAGACACCCAGAACTGGTTTAACTTGCTGGGCAACTGAGTTGAAAAGTGCCTGCCTGTTTTTCCTCATGTCTTTTACGTGAAGAGGCTGGAGACTTGGGCTAAAACTATTACTGTTGCTTTCCTTATTCTCTCCCTCCCCACCGCCGCAGTGATAATGTTCTCTCTCTCTCTATATATATATATGAGAATAAGAAAATTTCCAGATGCAACCTGCAGTAGATATGTGCAGGGAGAGATTGCTCAATCCTTTCCCCTCCAGAATGTTGTTGTAAGAGTCGGTTTCTCAGCTCAAAATCACCCTCAGCATCTTGCTTTCTCCCTCCCTTCCCCATTGATGGTGCAAACGAACTGCATAGAATTCCTAATATCATTTCCCCTCCTGTCAATCCTGCAGGTCAAAATGCAGCTTGGCGTGGATGGATGGGAAGGGAGAGATTTTTGTTTTATAATAATAATGTATTATTTATTCCCCGCCCATCTGGCTGGGTTCCCCCAGCCACTCTGGGCAGCTTTCAACAATAGTCCTTCAGATATTAAAAGCTTTCCCAAACAGGGCTGCCTTCAGATGTCTCCTGAAAGTCTGGTAGTTGTTGTTCTCTTTGATATCTGGTGGGAGGGCGTTCCACAGGGCAGGCGCCACTACCGAGAAGGCCCTCTGCCTGGTTCCCTGTAGCTTAGCTTCTCGCAGTGAGGTAACTGCCAGAAGGCCCTCGGAGCCGGACTTAGTGTCCGGGCAGAACGATGGAGGTGGAGACGCTCCTTCAGGTATACTGGACCGAGGCCATTTAGGGCTTTAAAGGTCAGTACCAACACTTTGAACTGTGCTCGGAAACGTACTGGGAAGCCAATGTAGGTCTTTCAAGACCGGTGTTATGTGGTCTCGGCGTCCGCTGGGTCACCTTCAAAGGTAGCCCCACATAGAGTGCATTATTTGAGAAGGAAAAAGACTGGGCGCAAGCGCAGGCCCAAAGTTTGGTATCCTGAGACCAAGCAAGATGGCGGTTGACCTGTTTGTCTGCACCCAGATCTGTCCCCTATAAAGCAAGAGATGTGGAGCCCATTTTGAAGAGCAAAATGGGAGTATAGGGAAGGGCAGCTTCCATTGGCCACACTCTCAAGAGAGCAAGCAGTATACATGTATCATTAAAGCAATACATAGGTTGCAAAGGAAAGCCTTAAAAAAATAAAACGATATACCTATGTTAAAGGCTTGGCATTTCAGTCCCTTATTTTTGCTTTGTCATTTTATTTTTCATAATAAAAAGAGTTCACTAGGCCAAGGCTTTATTTATTGTGGGTTCATAGTTAGCTTTATTGAGCCATTTTGACTACTGCCTGTTGTTTTTTTCTACTGCTGTTTTAGTGTACCTGTTCTGTGGATTTTTGTATGGTTTTATTGTCATGTACTGGGATCTCCCCCCCCCCTTTCTGATTTTACGCTCTGCTTGATGTTTTATAAGTCGCTTAGAGACTGTTTATGTAGCAGGCTACTGATAATTTGAACAAATCTTTCCCAGACTGCATCTATATTAAAATTTCATAGAATTGTAGAGTGGGAAGGGACCATGAATCTAGTCCAGCCCCTTGCAATGCAGGAATCTTTTGCCCAGTGTGGGGCTCGAACCCACAACTCTGAAATTAAGAGTCTCATACTCTACTAACATAGGGACATGGGTGGCGCTGTGGGTTAAACCGCAGAGCCTAGGACTTGCTGATCAGAAGGTCAGCAGTTCGAATCCCCGTGATGGGGTCAGCTCCCATTGTTCGGTCCCTGCTCCTGCCCAGCTAGCAGTTCACAAGCATGTCAAAGTGCAAGTAGATAAATACCGTATTTTTTGCTCTATAAGACTCACTTTTTCCCTCCTAAAAAGTAAGGGGGAATGTGTGTGCGTCTTATGGAGCGAATGCAGGCTGCGCAGCTATCACAGAAGCCGAACAGCAAGAGGGATTGCTGCTTTCACTGCGCAGTGATCCCTCTTGCTGTTCTGGCATCTGAGATTCAGAATATGTTTGTTCTTGTTTTCCTCCTCCAAAAACTAGGTGCGTCTTGTGGTCTGGTGCGTCTTATAGAGCGAAAAATACGGTAGGTACCGCTCCGGCAGGAAGGTAAACGGCGTTTCCGTGCGCTGCTCTGGTTCGCCAGAAGCGGCTTAGTCATGCTGGCCGCATGACCCGGAAGCTGTACGCCGGCTCCCTCGGCCAATAAAGCGAGATGAGCGCCGCAACCCCAGAGTCGGCCACGACTGGACCTAATGGTCAGGGGTCCCTTTACCTTTACCTTACTCTACTAACTGAGCTTAATGTGTTTTTATTGCTTGTTGTTTGCTGCCCTGGGCTTCTTTGGGAGGAAGGGAAAGATGTAGGTTTTACAATAAATATAGAATAGGTTTGGGTTTACTGGATGCTAGATTTGGGACATAGCTGTGCATGTACCTGCATGCATCCCAAGGGTGAAACTGGCCAAAGCTCTGGGAGAGGGTTAGCTTTGCAGGTAGAGAACATCAGGTCCAATCTCTGACTTCACCTATTAAAAGATCTAAATGGAAAGAGCCTTAGGAAACGTTTCTGAAACCTGGCTTTAAGGCCTACTGAGAATTATAAGCCAGGTACCGTATTTTTCGCTCTATAGGACGCACTTTTCCCCCTCCAAAAATGAAGGGGAAATGTGTGTGCGTCCTATGGAGCGAATGCAGGCTCCTCGGCTTCGCTTCGAGGCGCCTGACCTGGAAGCCGGAGGAGGAACAGAAGGGACTCCTTCTGTTCCTTCTCCAGCTTCGCTGAAGGGCGCTGCACCTTCTCCCTCTCTGCGCGGCACCTCTCCTGTGCGCAGAGAGGGAGAAGGCGCAGCGCCCCTTGAGCGGCGCGCCTGTCCAGCGAAGCCGGAGGAGGAGCAGAAGGGTCTCCTTCTGCTCCTTCTCCCGCTTCGCAGCGACGCGCCTTTCCAGCGAAGCCGGAGGAGGAACAGAAGGGTCTCCTTCTGTTCCTTCTCCAGCTTCACTGAAGGGCGTTGCGCCTTCTCCCTCTCTGCGCAGAGAGAGAAGGCGCAGCGCCCCTTCAGCGACGCGCCTGTCCTGGCTTCTGCTTTAGCCCTGCGCAGCCTCTTCGGGCAGGGGGAGCCTTCATCCCGCTGCCCTGAAGAGGCTTGGCACGGTTATCCCAGAAGCCAGAACAGCCACACGGTATCCCAGAAGCCAGATCCCTCTTGCTGTTCTGGCTTCTGGGGTTCAGAATAAGTTTTTCTTGTTTTCCGCCTCCCAAAACTAGGTGCGCCCTATGGTCCGGTGCGCCCTATGGAGCGAAAAATACGGTATTTATTTAAAACTATAATGCTTTCCTATTGGGAATAGCCAAAGAAGCTTACAGCAGCAAACAATTGTGTTAAGTGCAGTAAGAATGTATGGCTAAAATCTTCACAAGCAGCCTCTACAATTGTTAAGGAATAATTAGGAGTCGGGTAAAAACTCAGAGATACACAAATTGCCCATTGAAAACCCTTAGAGAGTTAAAAAGGTCTTGGCTTGTCCTCTGAGCAGTACATCAATGATGGTGTCTTCACAAACCTGCCTTGTGAAGTATCCCAAGAGACATGCTCCTACAGTGGCTCCCAAACTCACCCCCCCATCCCCACCTCACAAACCCAGCTGAAAATTTCTGAGGGTCTTGGTACACCTCTGAGCTATTTTTCCATCTGTCGTAGCAGTTGCCATGCTAGACGCTGTATGATTCTTAATTGTACCTGCGTTGCTTCTTTAATTTTTTTATTGTATTTTATCGTGTTACTGTTCAAATTCTGCGGAATTAAAACTGTGACGCAGTAAAACACAATATAATAAATAAGACGCAGTAAAACTACAATTAGAAATCAATATGAATGTTTAATGGAGACAGGCTGCAAACCATCAGGATGAAACAGGTGGAGTTTGAGAATCCCTGCTCAGTGTTAGAAATTTGCCAGGTGCCATTTTGCTACTGGTGGGTCCAGTTGAGACCATGTGGAGATCTCTGGATGGCAGGTTGGCAAATGACACCTGCATCTTGCTGGAAAGCTTTCTTAAGCAGGTAAGCAGAAGAACTGATTTATCGTGTTTATATCCCTTTTTCTCCAAGGAGTGCATAAGTTGTAAATTACGTAATTTGAGATTTTTTCCCTTTAAAATATAAGGCGGTATAGAAATGAAATTAATGATCCTAATAAGAAAAGGGCCTAGACATTCCGTTGTGGCGGCTGTAACTCATGTTTAAAGTGTCATTTGGCAATTAGCTTCTGTATCTGAGTTTCTAACTGTTATGTACTGAAGTTCTCACCCTGGGCCAGCAGGGGGATACTGTAGATACTTATGCAAATGAAGGATCGAAAGTGACGTTCAGCGATTGGATAGTTTTAGAAAGTTGCTACAGTTACGTTGTTGTGGAGCTCTATATAAGCAGGCTGACTGAGCTCTTCAGTTCAGTCCTGTTTGGCCTTTGAATAAACAAGAGCTGTTTGAAGAATCGCTGTGTCGTCTGATATGTTCGCCCACAACTTAGCACTAACACTGCCCGTGCTGTAGGGTACCATGAGAGGACTAAACGGGAACATGCAATGGGGGGATTCTGTGAACTCCAAACACTGATCCATGATGGGCGACTTTTTCCCAGGGAGTGGAATTCTGGTATATCTGGGACAGCAGAGAAAACGTCTCTGCTATCAGATGTTTAGGAGACCCTGAGCTAGGTCACTGGTCTCCATGCCTATATAAAGGAGCTGTTTCTGAGAAACTCACTCTTTTTTTATATCCACCAGGCCGCTCTGCTAACCTCACTTGAGGAATAATAATCATTCCTTGCTAAGGGCACTCTGGAATCCATTTCCTGTCTGGTGTTACATTCTATTTTTCTTTACTCTTGTTAAAAATAGGTTGCAAAGGAAACAATCAGTTTGGACACAGTTTGAATGGCCCGAAAGGAAATGTATGGAACGATTTGCAGCTGTTATTTATATATTTCACATATTTCTCCTTTCTCTGGCGTATTGCATTTCGGAGGAGAGCTGAAACATCTGATGACATCATCCAACAGGATTTTTATTATTTTTGCTTCTTTCAAGAGGTTGCATTCATTTTGATATATGGTGGATTGCTTTTTAGCATATTTTCCCAATACAGCAAAATGTTGCTGCAATTTGCAATTTTTATAAAGAAAATTATGGCATGATTAGCTACAATTCTGTATAATACAAAGCACATGCTGAGTAAGATCTTTGGAGATCATTCCTTAGTTCATACTGGGTTTTTGCCCATCTTTGCGTTTCCTTTGGGAGATAATTTTTATGATTATGGAAAACAGGAAGGCTGTGCTCACACTGTCCTGCACTGTGCATTTATTCTCTGCATTCCCAGGACTGGGTTTTTAATATATGTTCCATTGATGTACCTTGCTATAAGATACTACTGTTTGAGGCATTGTTCTTAAACCAGCTTCACATGGTTTGCTTGTTCTTGATTCATCTCTAGCCCAGGTGTGAACACTTTTGCATAGAGCAACAACATTCTCCTCCCAGCAGCAGACGCCAGTGTCTAAACAAGGAGAAACGGTTTCAGTGCAAACTTGGAGGCAGAATCCCGTGTATTCTGAAATTTCACAATGTGGAAGCTGCTATTTGGTCTCGAACTCAGAATCCTGTGAATATGTCCTGAAAGCAAACCAAACAAGGTGGTAGTCCCTAAGATGGTAAAGATAGGGTTGAAAAAAGTTGGGAAAAGTCTGGAGAAACTTCAGCAGCCACCGTACAGAGTAGTGCTTAGCCAGGCTACCTTGCTCTGGCGGGCAGCAAAAAACCTGGGAGGTTTAACAGCCCCCATTGGGTTAATAGACTCTGCATGTAGGCTGTGCTTAACTTTGGTAGGTCACAACTTGTTCAGGCCTGATCTGTCCAGCGAGATCCTGACTTTGTTTCCAAGACTTTTCGGTGCAGTGTACCCAATGCATGCCCGAATGTTGCACTGAAAGCAGATGCCGACTTTTCATTCCTCAGTCTGCTGCTTCTCCTGTCGTGCTTCAGATACTCAGAGGGGGAACATTCCTGTAAGAGTGCTGTCATTCACTGTGTCACAGAAGCATGATAATGAAGATCTCTGAACTTGCTGATCCTGGAATGAGAAGGGCAGGCCTTTAAAACAGTGAATGCTCAAAAGGATACAGATTTTTTTCTTTCTGCATAGAATGATAAGAGTTGGAAGGGACCCTGAGAATCATCTAGTCCAACCCCCTGCAATGCAAGGATATGCAGCCGTCCCATACGAGGATCAAACATATTGTCAGCACCATGCCTCTAACCAGCTGAGCTCCCAGTGCCTTGTAGCTCAGCCCACGATCCCTGTGTAAACGTTTGCCTACTGTTATGTACTGAAGTTCTCACCCTGGGCCAGCAGGGGGATACTGTAGATAGTTCAGGTCCACATATGCAAATAAGGGATCGAAAGTGACGTTCAGTGATTGGATAGTTACAGAAAATGGTTACTGTTGCGTTGTAGTGGAGCTCTATATAAGCAGGCTGGCTGAACCCTTCAGTTCAGTTCTCTTCTGGCCTGTGAATAAACAAGAGCTGCTTGAAGAATCGCTGTGTCGTCTGATATGTTCACCTGCAACTTAACACCTACAATGTGCCTCTAGATCGGGGTCGGCAAACTAAGGCCTAGGGGCTGGATGCGGTCCCCCCGGCTTGTAAATCCAGCCCGCAGACCCTGCCGCCCGCTCGGTCAGTCCCCGTGCTCTGCGGATGGCTTGCTGCATGGGGATTGACATCCAAGATGCTGGCACGGCTTCAGATTGGCTGCAGGAAGTTCCTGCAGCCAATCTGAAACCTCGTTGCCTGCGCGCTGAGGTAAACCCAGCGCGGCCATGGATGGAGAGGCCGGTGGGCGGACGGCGGGTCTGGGCCGTGCCATGGGCATCATGATGGGCGTGTTGTGGGGCTTCAACCGGAGCTTGGTGCGCCTGGTGCTTGGCTTGGCGCTGCTGCTGGTGGCGCACTCGGCGGCCACGCTGGAGCAGCTGGAGGGCGAGCTGCACACACCTGCCTGGCACTCCACATGCGCAGCCTGCCCGCTGACCTGGCCTTCGATGAAGGGCCGCAGCGCATGGTGCACACTGCCTGGGAGCTCCGCGGGGACAGGCCGATGGAGCAGCTGCTGTTCGTCAACAACGCCGGTGAGCAGGCAGTGCTGAGACGGGCTCCTGAGTGCGTGCAGAGTGCGTTCCTCCTCCAGGTCTGGAGGCAGCTGCAGGACCTGCTTGCAGAATATTTATATTTTTCAAAATATGGTCCGGCCCCCGCAAGGTCTGAGGGACTGGCCCCCTGATGAAAAAGTCTGCTGTCCCCTTCTCTAGATGTATAGGTTCCTGGTTTCCCCTCATAAATATTTTGCTGCTGTGCTTTAAAGATCCAAAAGGCTGGGAGAAGATGTGGCCTTTTTTTCAGATGAGGGCAACATTTAATTTCTAACCACCTTCAGCAATAACCCAGTGGTCTGAAAATCTGCACGTTCCTGCCTGCTCAAGGAGTCTTTTGAGCCATCCAGAGAGCCCACAGTGGAGTTTGCCTTTCGTTTTCAGTGACACTATGGATTCTGGAATATCTACCCATGGTGCACTGCTTCTGAATTGGGACACTGTGGCCCAGTTGAAACATGGCAGCAGTTGTGAACAAAATACAGTACTTGTCCACGTAAGCGTTGTCAGATAGCTTCCGCCTCAGTTTTTTGCATGACTTTTCCCCTCTGAGAAAATTAAATTTCTTTTTCTCTGCACTCACACGTGTTGCTGGAATTAATGCTTGCGAGGTTCCAACTGGGAAGGTGCTTGTGAGGCAAGTGGGGCGTCAAGGGGAAAATGAGGCACTTGGCGAAGAACTCAGCCTCCAAAAATTGCAGCTTACCAACAAGAACAGCAACAAGTTTGTAGCCTTCTGGGCTGTAAAGGGGGCTACCCCACAAAACTCTTTGATCATTGGGTGACTTGCAGAAATAAGCATCTATATTACACACATGATTTTCCACCGTGAGTCAAAGCAGGATAGCCTTTGTGATGATTTTTAGGGTTGCCATATTTCAAACAGTGAAAATTCAGACAGAAAAGTTGAGCCTTTTTTGGCAAAGTTTTGCCCAAAGTTGTTGGCAAAATCACAAAGAGCCGTTTTTTAGCTATGTTTATGGGAAATAGGCAAAAATGGCATTGTCAACATGGGCTGCCATATGTAAGGATTTTCCAGGACATTTGGCCTATTTCTGTCCGGACATGGCTGCCGACTGCAGTATTCCAGTTACTTCCGGGAAATGTCTGGACGTATGGCAGCCCTGTGATTCCTCTCCCCTCCCTCCCAGCTTAGTACGTATACATGGGTGGAGCATATCTCCAATGTGGGAAAATACTTGTGCCCATGGGGTTCTAGGAAGACAATGGATTGGTGGTGTTCAAGACCAGAAGTTCTAGCCCCTGTGTTCAGTGCAGCTGGCAGTTCTGTGTATACAAAAATATTTGTCAGAGTATCTGGGACAATAAAAAAATCTCATATAAAGTTGTAGAAGCAGTAGGGTTGTGTGTGTTTGTTGTTGTTTTTTAAGGGTGTTTTAGAACAGTGTTGTACAAAAGCAAACTGGCACGTTGTACCATTTTCCTGTAGCCAAAGGCCTTCTCTCCCTTCCAGTTCGCACGTCATAGTGGACCATAGATTAATGGATTACAGTGGCCTTCCCATTTTAGCCTAACAACAACAACAACAACTTAGAGACGACCAAGAGTGAAAAGCCTATGGTCACCCAGTGAGCTTCATGGCTGAGTGGAGATGCAGCCCTGGTTCCAATCCAGCACTCTGCCCACCACATTACCCTGATTCTGTTAAGTATCCTAACAAATTTCACAAATTTCTCATTCATTCACAGAGTGCAGTGCCCAACAGTGTGTCTGTGTGTGTATACAAAAATATAAATACAGTGTACATAATAATACAGACCTACTAGGATGGTCTCCTCTGACTAGGCACAGGTTTTCCCCAACTTTGCTACCCAAGATCTTTTTTAAAAAAGAGGTCAGGATTGCATTTGGCAAATTGTACGTACCAAGCACGTGCTCTTCCCCTGAGCTGCAGCCTCACCCCTTGGCAGACAGGCCTGCACTTGTTAATACTACGGGCGAGGGCTGCGAAAACACTTCTGGCTTGCCTGGTCTGCTCACGCTCACCTGACCCACATGTCCTGGGCAAAGAACACATGAGAACCGATGCCCGCACATGGTCGTTATGCAAGATTGACAACCGGTTTCAAGATTAAAATGATACCCGTTTCCTCTAGGCTGGGGCTGAGTCTGCATCACAACATTGGCACTGCCGGCAGCAGGGTGAGCAGCTGGGAGATACGAACGGTTGACATTTAAAATTGAGGCTGGCCTTGGGATGACCCGCTATTGACATGCCACTCAGAAAACCACAACAGTGATGATAGAAAAGGGATCAAGCTAGTCGGCTGTGTGAATCCCTCTCTCCGGCAGGTCTGCTCTAAACAGATCCAGGCTCTGTGTTCAAATATCATTCATGGCTTTTACAGTTCCTGATTTTTATTTGGCACGTGATCGTAATCCTGTCTTATTTTGTAGTGTGGCAGTGTTTCGTGTTTTTATATTGCAAGTTGCCGTGAGACTTTAAAAACCTTTTAAAGGTGGTATAAAAATATTTTAAATGATCTTCTGTCTGAGGACGTGCTGCTTTCTGCATGCTAAATTTGACTTGGAATGTGGCTTCTGACGTGTGATCGCAGAGCGAGAGAGTACACCCATAAATCAGTTTTCAGGGCTGGTTCAGACATGCATGCTCTCATTACTTGATGGAAACTGTGATTTGCATGTATGAATGGGAAATCACAGGTCATAGACAGGCTGTTCATACCACTTGGCCCTTGTGGCCCCTTCCAACTCTGCAATTCTACAATTCTATGTCATGCTTTTCATTGGCATTTATACACACACTCCGTATAAGGGAGCTTTCTACATTCCTCTAGGACAGGCATGTCCAACTTTCAAGAGATTGACATCTACTCCCATTATAAAAAAACTGGCAGTGATCTACCAAAGCTGTTGAGCTTTATTTTTTTGGGGGGGGAGCGATCTACCACAGAGCCCTCACAATCTACCAGTGGATCACTATCTACCTGTTGGCCATCCCTGCTCTAGGACTAGGCAATGGCTGTGATTTCCTATCTGTTCAATCTGAGGGGAAACCAGCATGGGGGAGATCTGGTTTGGGGCTTGGCACCACACGTGACTTGATGCCAGGGAGCACACCAGGTCAAGAGTGGCATGGCAGGATCATGCCAACCTGCACAGTCAAACAGACCGAGCAGGTTTTGCAGAGAGTCGTTGCAGGGTTTGCCGAGGAGCTCTGAGCACAAACTGCTGACAGCCTGCTTTCACTCTCTCTCCGGTGTCTTCTCCAGATGGTTGCCCTCCTGGCTAGTGGCAGCTAGTGCCCATTGGGACTGGTAGGGCAGAAAGCAAAGAGGCCAACAGTCGGCAGAGTCAATGACAGGAAGAGTCAGCAAGTTCTGGTTCTGTCTATGTCTAGCTCCTTGCTGAGTTTTCCAAGGACAAAACCGAGGGGAGGAAGATGACAGCCAGGACCACCACTGTTGTGGACTGGCTGGCTGCAGAGGAGTGGTGGGAGGCTGGGTAACCCCAAAAGGAACCACCAATAGAAGGAAGCTCAGAGCCAGGGATTGGTGGTAGAACAACAATGAGTGGTCAGAGGAAACATATAAAAGGTAAAGGTAAAGGGACCCCTGACCATTAGGTCCACTCGTGGCCAACTCTGGGGTTGCGGCGCTCATCTCGCTTTATTGGCCGAGGGAGCTGGCGTACAGCTTGCGGGTCATGTGGCCAGCATGACTAAGCCGCTTCTGGTGAACCAGCGCAGCGCACGGAAACGCCGTTTACCTTCCTGCTGGAGCGGTACCTATTTATCTACTTGCACTTTGACGTGCTTTCGAACTGCTAGGTTGGCAGAAGCAGGGACCAAGCAACAGGAGCTCACTCCGTCGCGGGGATTCGAACCACCGACCTTCTGATCGGCAAGTCCCAGGCTCTGTGGTTTAACCCACAGCGCCACCCGCATCCCTGAGGAAACATATACCAGAAAGTAAATCCTATTGAACTCAGTGGGACCTAGTTTGGAGTAAAAATGCTTCGGATTGCAATATAAGGCTGCCCAGTCTTTTCCCAGTAACCTGGGAGTAAGCTCCATTGAATACAGTGGGGCTTACTTCTGAGCAGACAGTGTAAGGCTCCATTTACAATAAAGGAATAAACACACCCCGCATTTCCTAAGAAATGCTTGCTGAAGTGGATCCAATTTAAAGTGGATGGGTGACACTTTCCTTCAAAATTATAGGAAGGGCTTCATATGCCAGCTTCACCATTTCCTTCATTTGGTGCACAGATTTTAGTTTCAGGATAAACAGGACTCTGTTTCTGCACCTGCATGTACACCACTTTTAATTGTTCTCCGAGACGTGGAGGAGAGGAAAAGAAGCGGGACATTCCAGGATCAAATCAGAAACTGGGATTGTTATGTACTGAAGTTCTCATCCTGGGCCAGCAGGGGGATACTGTAGATAGTTCCGGTCCACATATGCAAATAAGGGATCAAAAGTGACGTTCAGTGATTGGATAGTTACAGAAAGTTGTTACAGTTACGTTATACTGGAGCTCTATATAAGCAGGCTGGCTTAGCCCTTCAGTTCAGTTCTGTTCTGGCCTGTGAATAAACAAGAGCTGTTTGAAGAATTGCTGTGTCGTCTGATATGTTTACCCACAACTTAACAGGGATGGCTTCTGTAATTCCAGGACTGTTCCTGGAAAATCAGGATACTTGGAGGAGATGACCATTGGCTCTGGCTGTGATTGGCTCTGACTCCCCCACCACTGGTCCACTTCCTTTCTGCCCTACCAACCCCAATGAGCACCAAACATCACCAGTAATATGTCGTGTTGCTCTGCTACAGGGTGTCTGTGGTGGCGGAAATCTGGAGGGGAAGCCTCTTCATCTAGAAGCTTCCGCCTCAAAAACAGATCCTGCAAATTCCGCCGATCCTCAAAATTCCTCCCCTCCCCTATACAAGAGGGGATTTCCTGAGCCCCACGTTGGCCAGTACAGTAATAATTTGAAAGCGAGAGGAGCCTTTATTTTTTTAAGGACAATATGCCTGCCATCAAAGGCTTGGTCATCTTCCAAGTTCATTAAAATATGTTAATTACGTACAAGTGAAAACACTTAAGTTTGGCCCTTCAACCCTTTTACTGAGTTTGCAAGGCGGCTACCAGTGTTGAACAGATTGCTTGCCCCAAAGCAGAACTTCAACACAATTTATGACCACCCTGTCTCCATGTAGCAACTGCCGTCTTTTCTTGAGCGAGTTGCTTGCTGGGCATTCACTAATTGAGCTGAGCACCCCACTCCCCCTCCACCCCCCAGCTGCCTTACGGAGTCCCTTTGTCCTGCTTGGCTTCCCAGCAATGCAAATTCAGAATCGCAGGAGCAGGTTCTTGATACGCTTTGAGCTGCCTCTGCTGTGAGCCGGCTTTTGTGAACAAACCTCCGCCTGCGAAAGTAGAATTGGACCACCTTGTAAGACGTGCCTCCCCCCTCCGTGTGTGTGTTGTATAACGTATGTTTGCCCCAAAGAATGGTTCTCTTGCTGTTAAATTTATGCACTATGCAGGCATCTGCACTAAGCGTTTGACGCATCATCATGTCACTTCATGCAAACCAAAAGAATCCTGGGAACTGTAGTTTAAGGCTGCTAAGAGTTCTTAAGAGACCTCTGTTCCCGTCACAGAACTACAAATCCCAGAGTTCTCTGGGAAGAGAGGTTGAGTGCGTACCCTCCAACATTTCTCCAATGAAAATAGGGACATCCTGAGGAAAAGCAGGACGTTCTGGGACCAAATCAGAAAGCAGGACTGCTTCTGTAAATCCAGGACTGTCCCTGGAAAACAGGGACACTGGGAGGGTCTGTGGTTGTTAAATTTCCTTTGGAAATACCCAGCTTACCTGACCATTTGTGCTCCCCTGTTCTCTTAGTTATCTGGAAGCAGCAGAAAAGCTGCCTGACTCAAAGGCCTCCTTTTTAAACTATGGTTTAGTACTATGTGAACCCTGCCCCCACAAACTTAACTATGGCTTGCTTACCATTAACAAACCATGGTATGAAGTTATGGTTTGTTGTTGGTGCACAAACTTTGGTTTGTTTCCGTTGCAGCTTGGTGTCATGTCTGAACCCAGAACCCTCTCTTAGCCATGGTTTGTTTGACCACTCCAAATGCTCATCAAACCACAAAGGGTTGAGGTAAGAACAGCTGGGGAGCGAGCCAAACATTAGAGAAACAAATTGTGGTTTCTTTGATCACCTGTGGGAGAACCTGTGGTGTGTTAAACAAACATTGATTTAGGATTATGGGGAAGCCAGCCATTTGTTTGGTGGCCAGTGCAATCTCACACACATGCACTGCACGCCCTTGCACCCCCTCAATCTTGGGTGCGAGTCAGTGCCTCTGATGCAGTAAATGCCCATGCAAATACGTTCCCCAGCTGTGTGGGTGTGTGTTGAGCATGGAAGTCATGTCGTGCAATGCAGTGCCCTTGCAACAAACGGTTGCGCTAGTGATTGAGGTGTAGAATGCATCTGCAGGAATATACCAGGCACTTATAACATCCTAAACTCTGGTGCTCCTATTAATGGCTTGGAAATAAAACTCAGCAAAGGGTGTGTAGGTAGACGGAAGGCTCACAGTAGCCTTTGCTGCTGTGTCGTGTAGGGCATAATCTGTGTGGATCGTGAAGCAAGTCCATGCTTTTAGCCCTGTCCTGACTGGGGTCACTGTCTCCTTGCAACAACAGCATGTTGCACGTGCTTGTATGCAGAACGCAAGTACCTACGCTCATGTAGGGAGCTGCATGTGGTCAGGATACCCACACGGTGCAAGTGGTTGTGCGATTTGTGGCAGTGTAGCCTATTTTGCGACTGGTGCAGGTCCAATTGCGACCACGTGGAGATCACTGGGCACCAGGTTGTCAAATGACCTCTCCATCTGGCTGGCCCTTCCAGCTTTCATAAGCAGGTCCCCAGAAGAGTTTATTTATTGCATTTATATCCCATCTTTTTCTCCATGGATGACATGGTTCACCCCTCTCCTCAGTTAATCCCTACAAGGACCCTGTGGGGTAGGTTAGGAGGCTGTGACTGGCCCAAGGTCACCCAGTGAGCTTCAGGACAGAGTGGGGATTTGAACCCTGATCTCCCAGGTCCTAGTCCAACTCTAACCACTACACCACACTGGCTTTTTATGAGTGCTTCTGCTATGGTGCAACTATATAAATTAAGTAGCTAAATAAATATGGGAAAAGCAAAATGTCACTTAGATAAGGATCTGATATATTTTCCTTGAAGCTTGAATTTGTTTTTTTTCTGGGTTGTTTTATTTGAGGTTTTAATGTGTTGTAAACAGCTTTGAGATTTCCCCCCCTTTAAAATATAAAGTGGCATAGAAATGAAATGAATAATAATAATAACAATAAATGCTGTTGCAAAAAAAAAAAAAAAGTACCTAGATATTTCATTGTGATGACCATGGCCTAGATTTAAGGTACCATTTGGAGATCACCTTAAATACCTGATTTTCCAATACTGCTTCTCAGGAGAATGGAACTGTTGATGCACAAGTAACCTGTAGTGCAGTTTTGGGATCTTGGGGAAGCAAAAGCTGGTAAACCACAACCATCCTGATGTATTTAATCTAGGTGTTTGCTGAATCAGAACTCCCATAGTCCAGAGCCATTCATTGAGTTTGGAGGTCGAGGCTGATGCGAACTGTATCATGAAGGCAGTGAGGCAGCCCAGGATGCTCATCTCTGGTCTAATGTCACTACAGTGGTACCTCTGGTTAAGAACTTAATTCAGAGGTCTGTTCTTAACCTGAAGCACCACTTTAGCTAATGGGGCCTCCCGCTGCCGCCGCGTGATTTCTGTTCTCATCCTGAAGCAAAGTTCTTAACCCGAGGTACTATTTCTGGGTTAGCGGAGTCTGTAACCTGAAGCGTCTGTAACCTGAAGTGCTGTAACCCGAGGTACCACTGTACTAGCATTAACTACAAAGGAGAAACACATGACATCTTTTCCTGACAGGATAGGGGTATGGCGCTGTGCTCTTCCTGAATCAGTGGAGAGGGAAAATTGGGAGCCGTCAAGGAGACTGTGTCTCCCCGGTAACTGTCTGCTCCTTCTAGAGAGAGGTTTGTTGTTCTCCCCTCGAGACCCAATGCTCTGCTGGCTTCCGGCAACTGCCTAGGAAGGAGTCCTAGGAAGGAGCCCATCCACCGCAAAGACTTATAATGAAACGGCCAATCAGAAAGACTACAAAGCCTTTGATTCCACCAAAAGCACTAGAAGCAGAGGCTATGTATCTCCTACAAGTTCTGTGCAAGTGTTAAAGAAAGCATAGAAAGGATGCCCAGTGCTGGGCAAGGAATCTAGCTTTTTATAAAACACAAAGTTTCTAGCTTTTACAGATGAATCGCCCTTAGCCCTTGTGAAATCTAACTTGATTTATTAGTTTGACTTCCTCCATGGAGGCAGTGAGAGATTTTCCCTTCTTGGGCTCCATGGTCACTGCAGATGGTGACAGCAGCCACGAAATTAAAAGATGCCTTTTCTTCTTGGGAGAAAAGCAATGACAATCCTAGACAGCATCTTAAAAAGCAGAGACATCACCTTGCCAACAAAGGTCCGTATAGTTAAAGCTATGGTTTTCCCAGTAGTGATGTATGGAAGTGAGAGCTGGACCATAAAGAAGGCTGATCGCCAAAGAATTGATGCTTTTGAATTATGGTGCTGGAGGAGACTCTTGAGAGTCCCATGGACTGCAAGAAGATCAAACCTCTCCATTCTGAAGGAAATCAGCCCTGAGTGCTCACTGGAAGGACAGATCCTGAAGCTGAGACTCCAATACTTTGGCCACCTCATGAGAAGAGAAGACTCCCTGGAAAAGACCCTGATATTGGGAAAGATGGAGGGCGCAAGGAGAAGGGGACAACAGAGGACAAGATGGTTGGATAGTGTTCTCGAAGCTACCAGCATGAGTTTGACCAAACTGCGGGAGGCAGTGGAAGACAGGAGTGCCTGGCGTGCTCTGGTCCAGGGGGTCACAAAGAGTCGGACACGACTAAACAACTAAACAACAACAACAACATGAGACCAGGTTCCAGTGTACATCTCCTTTCCCCAACAAGGTGTCCCAGATGTTGGACTGCCAACTCCCACCAGTCCCAGCCCACACGGCAGATGGTCAGGGAAAGATGCGAGATGCAGTCCAGCAGCATCCGCAGGGAACCCCGGTTATGAAGCTACGTGACAATCTACCTCCCCTCTTGCAACCGCCTGCTTTGTCTTCACAACAACCCTGTTGTTAGAGGTGGTGATTAGGGCAAGGTCTTCCAGTGAGCTCTGTGGATTAGTGGAGATTTGAACCAGGGTTTCAAAAGAACATAGGCCAAAGACTCTTTTAGTCCAGTATCCTGTTCTCACAGTGGCCAAACTGATGACTATGAGAAGCCCACAAGCAAGTCCTGAGCACAACAGCAACCTCTCTACTTGTGATTCCCAAAAAACTGGCATTCCTTTTTTTAAAAAAAAATAATTTTTATTGAGTTTTCCACTTAAATCATATTCACATTTTGTTACATAATTCTATGACTTAATATATTACTCTGTAAGAGCATCGACCTCCTTCCCTCCCTCTTTCTGACTTCCGCATAACTTTCCATATTCTTCGCATTTCTATAAGCACTTATTTACCCTTTGTCAAATTATAATATTTCACCTTATTATCGGTAAATCAGTTCCTTATATTTATATTACAAAACATTTCAATTCAAGCCTACAAACGTTTTCAGATGTTTACAATTTTCTCTCATATAAAATATAAATTTGTTCCAGTCCTTTTGAAACAGTTTGTCACGCTGATTCCGGATCTTCCCCATCAACTTGGCCATCTCTACGTATTCCCATCATCTTGACCTGCCAATCTTCCAGTGTCGGAAGTTCCTGCTGCTTCCATTTCTGAGCCAGAAGTGTCCTTGCAGCCGTTGTGGCATACATAAACATGTTTACATCACTCTTATGTATTTCCTCACCAATTAATTCTGATGTGTTCAGTGAAGGTAGGCTATAGCCCTTGTGGCTATTAGCTGCTGATAGCCTTAGCCTTCATGAATGGTTCCTTTAAAGCCATGTAAGTTGGTGGCCATTGCTACTTCTCCCTAGTCCGATGCTCTAACCACTACACTACCCAGATTCTCTGGAATCTGTAACAGGCGTAAAGGTAAAGGGACCCCTGACCATTAGGTCCAGTCGTGGCCGACTCTGGGGTTGCGGCGCTCATCTCGCTTTATTGGCCGAGGGAGCTGGCGTACAGCTTCCGGGTCATGTGGCCAGCATGACTAAGCCACTTCTGGCGAACCAGAGCAGCGCACGGAAACGCCGTTTACTTTCCCGCCAGAGCGGCACCTATTTATCTACTTGCACTTTGAAATGCTTTCAAACTGCTAGGTTGGCAGGAGCAGGGACCGAGCAACGGGAGCTCACCCCGTCACAGGGATTTGAACCGCCGACCTTCTGATCGGCAAGTCCTAGGCTCTGTGGTTTAACCCACAGCGCCACCCACGTCCCTATAGTAACAGGCATAGCCAGGTGGAAATTCTGCAAAGAAATGGCACGTGTGCAAATGCCCTTGATCTGTACAGGTTTTGGAACTCTGGTAACCTTTGCAACGGAGTACGCATGACCCCAGTTACCTGGCTGGGAGTGGAGAGAGCAGCTGGATAGTTTTGCCTGAATTGCTGGTGACAAATAGCCTGTTGCTATTAATCCTCCTGCTGGCGTGCTGAGTGTTACTTCCCATTCTGCTCTAATGAGCCGAGGATCTTGGCCGCTGCCCCCCTCCACGCTGCAAGGGCCTGCCTCAAGCAGAGTGGTTGGGCTATGAATGGGGCCAGCCTGTCTGGGCTCTCTAGCCTTCAGCTTCGGCTTGGCTTGGAGATTCCTGCTTGCCCGCTAGCTATGATATCTCCAGCAGATGTCTCTCAGCTGTTCTTGGCAGCTGGCGGGGAGATGCAAAGGCAAGGAGCAGGGAGGTGGAGGAGGAGGAGGAGGAGAAGAAGGAAGTGAAGGCATTCCATCGGTGCTTCCAGCTGCTATCGCGAAATAGACCGCTGCGACCTTTTCTTTTAAACTCCAGGGAGAAAGATTACTGAAGGCAAGAAAAATTAAGTGAAATGATGTTTATGGGGGTGGGAAGAAGGGGGAAGTTAGTTTCCGCAAAGCCCGATATAGCCTTGCCTCCTTTTCAATTTGTTCTGTTTTCAATTTGTGTGCCACCTTTCTAAATTGGGATGTCAGGAAACTGCTTTTATATCGAGTCGGTCCATTGGTCTTTCCAGCTTAGTAATTGAGTGGCAGCAGCTCCCCACTGCTTCAGGTAGGGTCCCCCCTCCCCAGTCCTACCTGGAATATACCTGGTACCACCTACATGCAAGTAGCTGCCCTGCCACCCAGCTGTGGCCTTCCCTGCCCCCCAGTTACTGTACCCAAGGCAGTTAACAACCCACAGAAATGACAAAGCGTATAATAATAATAATAATAATAATAATAATAATAATAATTTTTATTTATACCCCGAACTCCCCAGCCAAGACCGGGCTCAGGGCGGCTAACACCAGGTATAAAAACAATTGATTAAAATACAACTTTAAAACAAGATTAAAATACAACATTAAAATGCAGCCTCAAGGAAAATCGCATTGCTTCTCTGTAGCAGTTCAAATGATACCTAAAAGCAAATTAATAAGAGGAATCCAATTTCACACATAGCATTACAAAATGCTAACGGAGTATCACTAAACATTTAAAAATTTTTTTTTAAAAAAAATTAAAACATTTTTTTAAAAAGCCAACCCCACTGGTTACCCATTGGTTACAAGAAGTATAATTGCAGATGGACAAGATGACAGCAGCAAAAACACAGGGAAACAAAATGCGGAAAAAGGAATAACTGAGCAGCTAGATCACATCTTTCCTTCCTTATCCTGGTTGGCCATATGTTACCCAAGCCATCCTGAGAACAGGACACCGCCATCTCCATAGATTCAGGATCAGGGTGAGCTTAAGCTGGCACTGCAGATGTTGGGTGCCACAAAATCAGCTTCCCCATTTGGTGTTGATTCTGTGTGTGGTGTGTGTGTGTGTGGATCTGCACCCCCCCCCCCAATCTCTGAACTTAAATGATCTGGAATCAGAGCAAAGTTCATTTCAATTCTTTGCAAACATCTCAGCCAACTAGCAGGTATTTGGTAGGCCAGTGATAACTGGCCAATATGTGGGTCATGGTTCTACCTACTGCCTTTTCCTCTTCCTCATCACACTCTAGGCTTTTGTTTCTACAGACACCTCCCACCCCACAATCTCATGTCTCCTCTTTCTGCTGTCCCCATGCCCCTTCTCCCCAATGCAAGGATCTTTGGATTCTCAACGGAGCAAACTAAAAGTTTGTCATTAACAAAACCCAGACCTGGAGGGGCAGCCCTTGTCCTTAAATGGCCGGCATAAGGTCCAGTTGCCGCTGCCACTTTTGTGTTTGTGTGTGTACCTATGTGCCTCGATGTTGCACAATGACACTGTAAAGCTGGGGCAAAGGCCCAGATCAAAGAGATGGGATGGACCCTGAGGATCATGTAGTCCAGCTGCCTGCAATATCCTGGTTTTAAGAGCATAAGAGTAAGATTATGGCTGGGGAGGATTTTCCAAACTCAGCGGTAAGGAGCCTTGCACAATATAATAATGCACCATTTTGGCATCTCTAGTTAGGGAATTTGAGGACCAGCGTAACTTTCCTTCTGAGACCTTGAATATCTGTTGCCAGTCAGAGCTCACAATATTGAGCCAGCTCAAGTCATTGACTTTCCAATTCGTTGTTGCTTTCTCAAATCTCAGCTTTAATTTTTTGAAGAGAGGGCGAGTTTCTAGTGCTCGTTATGGTAGAGAAGAAACTGGGAAAATGACGTGTTATTTATTATTATTATACACATAGCACAGGTTTTGCCAACCTGCCGCTTCCCTGTTGTTTTGAACTATGATTCCCATCAGCCCCAGCCTGCCTGCCTGCCCGATGGTCAGGAATGATGGGAGCTATCGTCTAAAACATTGAGTGCGCACCATGCTGAGGAAGAAAGCATTTGTCTAGCCCAGGTGTGTGAATCTGTGGCTATTCAGATGCTGCTGAATGCAGCTCCCATCATCCCTTGGCCATTGGGCATACTTCCTGGGGCTGATGGGAGTTCTAGTTCAGCAACATTTGTGTTATGTACTGAAGTTCTCACCCTGGGCCAGCAGGGGGATACTGTAGATAGTTTTCACTCAGGTCCCCATATGCAAATAAGGGATTGAAAGAGACGTTCAGTGATTGGATAGCTACAGCAAATGGTTACTGTTGCGTTGTAGTGGAGCTCTATATAAGCAGGCTGGCTGAACCCTTCAGTTCAGTTCTGTTCTGGCCTGTGAATAAACAAGAGCTGTTTGAAGAATCATTGTGTCGTCTGATATGTTCACCCACAACTTAACAATTTGGAGGGTTTCAGCTTCCCCACAGCTGAGCTAGCCCTTCAGACCCCCAAAGCATTTCACCTATGTCAGACTAGAAAAGAGGCTGATTACATGGTTTGCCTAAGGCCACGGATTTAAGGCTGGGTTTATCAATGTAGCAGAATTAGGCGGGGATGGAGTAATGCCAAGATGCAGAATGGACTGTGCCATGTCCAGGCTGCAAGTGGGAAAAAACACTTTGGGCTGTGTTTCCACATTAAACACCCACCTCCCTGCTGGTAGAAAACTAGCAAACCAGGGAGAAAAGTGCAAGCTCAGTCCTTTCATGCCTACCATGTTGTTTTCTATTTGCATGGAGTTATTTAATGCTGGGGAAACAATCAAAACTGTGACCATCTCTCTCAGAGGTTGCCAACTTTTTTAGACCCAGGGGCACATTGGAGAAACCCCACCCCGCAAACACCCTTCAACCAAGCACACACTGAAGCCTATACTATCTCCAGTAGAATTTTTCTTCCAAGCCTAATTTCAATGGAGGAGGGGCCCTTTGGAGCATCAGGGAAGACCTTTGCGGGCACATGTGTGCCCACGGGCACTGTGTTGACAACCTCTGACCTACAAACGACCTGAAGTGGTTTGGTCTGTTCTACCTCTGTGTGTATAAATCTGTGTTCATGGCAGAGTTAGTTACAGGTAGGTAGCCGTGTTGGTCTGCTGCAGTCGAAACAAAACAAAAAAATTCCTTCCAGTAGCACCTTAGAGACCAACTAAGTTTGTTATTGGTATGAGCTTACGTAAAGTGTGCATGCAGGTGGGACGCGGGTGGCGCTGTGGTCTAAACCACAAAGCCTAGGGCTTGCCTATCGGAAGGTCGGTGGTTTGAATCCCCATGATGGAGTGAGATCCTATTGCTCGGTCCCAGCTCCTGCCAACCTAGCAGTTTGAAAGCACGTCAAAGTGCAAGTAGATAAATAGGTAGTGCTCCGGTGGGAAGGTAAACGGCGTTTCCGTGCGCTGCTCTGGTTTGCCAGAAGCGGCTTAGTCATTCTGGCCACATGACCCACAAAAACTGTCTGCGGACGAACGCCAGCTCCCTTGGCCTATAGAGCGAGATGAACGTGCAACCCCAGAGTCGTCCACGACTGGACCTAATGGTCAGGGGTACCTTTACCTTTAAGGTGCTACTGGAAGGATTTTTTAAATTTTGTTTTGTTCATGGCAGAGGTGAGGCTTAAAGTACATGGGCTTGCTGATTCACAGCTCTGTCTCTTCGCTGCCATGCTGCTCAGGCTGCTACCTGCTAGAGGCTTGGGACCATTTCCAGGGCGGCATCTTCCCTCCATGCGAGAGCACTTGGTAGGATGCTTCATGCGGATGAATGCACACGGAAGTATTTCACTGGAACAGGCCATCCCCAGAACTCGCTCGAAAGGCAGGTCCCCTGTGAGTTGCGGCTTGCGTTCCTGGATAGACCCAGCTTAAAGAATTGTCTTCCGTCAAGTTTACACGGATGATTTGTTCTGACAAAACCTGTCCGCGTGTGGGCACACACTCCAAAGCTCATCCGGCAGAGGCAGATTGGTGTCCTGGGATTGGCCCAGGATGCAGCCATTAGGGCGTGGTGGGTGGGGGGCTCTTCTTTCTGCATTGCAACCCCTTGTTCCTTAATGCTGCTTGTTAATGGTTTGCAAATCTCAATTCCTGAGCAGCAGATAATTAGGGGAAAAAATAATCCCAATTTCTGCAGATCTACCCAGGGAGCTGGGTTGGGTGGGAGGGGGAAGAGTAGGGACAGACCGTATTTTTCGCTCTATAAGACGCACCAGACCACAAGACGCACCTAGTTTTTGGAGGAGGAAAACAAGAAAAAAAATATTCTGAATCCCAGAAGCCAGAACAGCAAGAGGGATTGCTGCTTTCACTGCGCAGCGATCCCTCTTGCTGTTCTGGCTTCTGGGATAGCTGCGCAGCCTGCATTCGCTTCATAAGACGCACACACATTTCCCCTTACTTTTTAGGAGGGAAAAAGTGAGTCTTCTAGAGCAAAAAATATGGTAATTCAATTTTTGTTTCAAAAAAACCTGCAAACTATCCCCACTGCTGAATTCATGATTTCTAATGCAGAATTTTAGGCCCCTTTCAGATGGATTTGTTCCTGTTACACTGCAAGCAAATGCAGAGGTGGGGGGGGGCATAGCAACAGCACAGAGAAATGCAACTGGCGAAGCCAGTGTTTTTGCATTCCTTTTCCCCACTCCATTTCAGGAAGGACTCGGCTTCCAAGTTTCACTCAAATGGAGTGCTGGAAGAGAATGCAAATTTGTGTCCCTTTTGAAGCTGCTGTACTGTTTCCTGCAGAAGAATCTATTTCAAAACGCTTTGGGAAGCTTCTATACTTTTGCTTGCTTGTCTCCACCTCTTGCATTTCTCCATCATTCTGGAATGTGACAGGGCACTGGCAACGGCTGAGCAGGACCCAGGGTTTAAATCGAATTCCTTCCATTAATTTGTTAGGTAGCTGTTTGGCAAGGTGGTTTTTCCCCTTTAACTTTGGAACTGCGATCTGGGGATATTCGTACTGGCTTACCTTACAAGGTAGTTGGAATTATTCTTTTGAGAATGTGTGTGAAAGCACTTCTTTAAAAAACAACATGATACGAATGTGAAATATATTATTAGATTCTATTTGTGTTGGGTGGGCAGGTAGATGGCGCCTTTTCTGAAAACTGTTGATTGCTAAGAGGAGTAACGTTTTGGCATAGTTTATAAACCATGGTTTGCAGGTAAACCATGGTTATTCTTCATAAACTGCTTAGGGGTTTTATTTACAGTTAAGCAGTATGCAAACTTTGTTAAATAAGCTCTCTTGTTTTCTGACCCCAATATTTAGCACCAGAAAGGCTGTTAGGCTTATGACTAAGGCATCTAATAAATTCCTACAATGTGGGGGTGACCCATTAATAGTAAATGAGTGCATAGAAGTTTAGTCTGCAGAATTTGCCCCTGCTCCACAACCAGCGTGGAAGTGCAGAACTAGAAAAAACAACAACCGTGCCTTCTGTCAAGTAGGGTTGGCTGGGATGGAGCACAGCTCTCCGTTCCTCCTCCACTGGCGTGCCAGTTTCCAAACTGGTCACAGAGGAAGGGGTTTTCCTTACTCCATAGTTAGCATGGAAACCGAGTGGACTGGTGGGGCAGTGTTGCGCCACCACCCTTCTGTTGGGATGCTGCGGAAAGTGGAGGGCGAAGAGGTTGGGGCTGTGTGAGTGCGTCGGCGGAGCCAATCTGGTGCTGCTGCTTTTGCACCTGCATGGCCCTGATCTTGCTGCCATCCTGCACCACCCTTGCCCATTCCTGTAAGCAGAAGCACGGCATCGCCCTGCCATGCACGCCCTGCCATGCCCACAGCTCCTGAGACAGAGACGCTTCCTTGATGTATTGTTAGCCCAGCCACTCACCTGCATGGAATTCCCTGTTTTAAGAAAGAAAGGAGAAAGCAGAGCAGAAACAGGGAGTGAGATGATTTTCCTCTTCCAGCACCCATGCACACACCTTCAGGGCCTCCTCCTAGCCCAGAGGTCAGCAACCTTTTTCAGCAGGGGGCCAGTCCACCATCCCTCAGACCATGTGGTGGGCTGGACTATATTTTGAAATAAAAATGAACGAATTCCTATGTCCCACAAATAACCCAGAGATGCATTTTAAACAAATGGACACATTCTCATGTAAAAACATGCTGATTCCCAGACCATCTGCGGGCCGGATTGAGAAGGCGACTGAGCCTTAAGGTTGCCTACCGCTGTCCTAGAGGATAAGGAGTTCATATTCTTTTGGCCATTTTTCTGTGAAACTCCTATTCATGCAACTCAGCCGGTTCTGACACACAGAGGAGTCCGTGGCAGAACAGGGAACCTGTCCTGTCTCCCTTGCCTTTCAGATTGTCAGAGTGTCAATAGGCGCTGGACCCTGTTGATGTAACACAGTGTGTGTGAGCTGCTCTATAAGCTCCTTTATGTCCTTTCACTTTCATGGCCACTCAGCATTATTTGCAGGAGGCAAACCAAAGCATTTTGCTTGGGGCTTTCATCGGAGGCAGAACGAAGCACAGATGACAATACAGAAAGCTCTCTCTCTCTCTCTCTCTCTCTCTCTCTCTCGTGCACACACCCAATCCATTTCTGTTCTCGCAGCACCTTAAAGACACACAGTTTTATTATGTATGGCACAAGCTAAGGGTTGCTAACCTGCAGCCATCCGGGTGTTAATGGACCACAACTCCCTTTATCCCTGGGTTCATAGGAGCTAAGAGTCCAAAACCATCTGGAGGCTGCCATGTTGGCTACCCCTGGTTCGAGTTTTCACCAGATCATGGCGTGTAACCCTGAATTGGCAGATAGATATTCATAATGTGGAGTGAGATGGGATGGGGAACATAGAGAAGAGAGTTCAGAGGGAAATGAAATGCAAAGAAACAGTCTTCTTGTTTGTAAGTAGCGTTATGAAATCATCTTTTTGGGGATGTGTATGCAGAGCTGGCTTTAGTGCGGTGCAGGAGGTTCCCCCGCAATACATATATTTATACGTGGGTGGCGCTGTGGGTTAAACCACAGAGCCTAGGACTTGCCGATCAGAAGGTCAGTGGTTCGAATCTCTGTGATGGGGTGAGCTCCCATTGCTCGGTCCCTGCTCCTGCCAACCTAGCAGTTCGAAAGCACGTCAAAGTCCAAGTAGATAAATAGGTACCGCTCCGGCGGGAAGGTAAACGGTGTTTCCGTGCGCTGCTTTGGTTCGCCAGAAGTGGCTTAGTCATGCTGGCCACATGACCCGGAAGCTGTACGCCAGTTCCCTTGGCCAATAAAGTGAGATGAGCGCCGTAACCCCAGAGTCGGCCACGACTGGACCTCATGGTCAGGGGTCCCTTTACCTTACTGAAAATGGTAAATGGCATTTCTGTGTGCTCTGGCACTCATCATGATGTCCTGTTGCACCAGAAGTGGTTTAGTCATGCTGGCCACATTACCGAGAAAAAGCTGTCTGCGGACAAACGCCGGCTCCCTCGGCCTGAAAGCAGAGATGAGCGTCACACCCCATAATCAAATTCGACAGGACGTAACCGTTCGGATGGTCCTTTACCTATTACCTACTGAGAAGCTCATAAAAAGCGAAAGAGACTTCCGGTGGAGCGCGGAACCTGTTGCAGGCGAGGGTTTTTTCTGCGGAGAGAGCCCTAGCTGTTTCGGCCGATTTTGGAGGTTTTCAGGGCGAAAAAAACCTCCCGCTAAACCTCTGGAGGGTGTCTAGAGGTCTAGGTGCCCGGCAGTGCCTGGAAGCTGTCTCGTCCAGTCGTCAGGTAGCCTTTGAATATATGTGAAGAGTGCGACAGAACGTGCAGTGGGTAATTGGGCAGCCATTATAGCGGCGAACCAGCGAAGCCCCGAGCCTGCAAGGATTAGCGCCCCGCTCTCGAGATAAAGAAACTCGGATTCAGAACTCAGTTTTTATAACAACGCAAAAGGGAAAAAAGGATAAGGAAGTCTCCGAGTAAAAAGAGAAGAGTCCGAGTTCAGCGCCGGTTTGACTTCATTGAAAAAGACGCAGCGCTGCATGCAGAGCCGAAAGAGAAAGTAAGTTACCGCTAGCGGCTACTGTTTCCGTCTCCCCCGTTTATTCAAGTTCAAAAGATAAAAAAGAAAGGGAGAAAGCCAAGGGGGAGCAGAGAAGTGTGGTGATAGAAGAGAAAACCCAGTCGATAGTGTGACTGAGGTAATTGGAATACAAAGAGGACTATTGTTAAGATTTATGTGAAGAAGATAAGGTATTGAGAAGATTTTTCAACGCCATATTAAGTGGGGGTGGAGAGGAGCTTCAGACGCCATATCAAGTGGTTCTAAAAGACGTATAGAAAGAGAAGACAAAACACCTCAAGGTACTTTGGGTCGACGTTTTGGGGTTTCCTTTTGTTTAATAATTTTCTTCGTCATCTCTGTATATAAGACATTGAAAGAGAGAAGAATATAAGGAGGGTAGTTGAAAAAATAATTAAGAAACTTCCCCTAAGTTTGAAAGAGGCTGACTCCCTCCTGTGGCGTAAGCCAAATATTACATCCTAATCCTGGAAAACCTCAGCTGAGGCTTTTGAGGCTTAATGAAGTAAAGAAGATAACTGCTCTGGAGAGGCCTCCCCCCCTGTCGGACTAAACTCATCAATCTACTCAGCATGAACATATGTGGTTAAGGAATAACTAATATGAATATTGACAATTATACTTAAATTAACATTTGAATTTGGTGTACCTCTGAAGTTATAAGTGGAGTTCTCCCAAAATCTCTGTTATTTCTACCTGAACTACATTCGGATTTACAAACTTATAAATTGGGACTGTGTTTACCAAAGCGTTGGTTGGATTAGCCCGAATAGGGGCAAGAAGACTATAAACAGAACATTATCAGAACCAACAGACAACCACCTTTCCTCGAAGTTTAGGGGGAAGGGATAACATTTAAACATATTAAGTGGAGGCTAAGAAGTTGCGATTTGTAATACCTAGGTTTCTGGGTATTTGGTATCATTTGTGGTCATTCTATATAGGGTTGTATATACTACTTTTGGTGGCTAACTTAATATTATCTAATAGCAAGTATAAGAATATTTGTACAGGAAGGACAGGAAAGACAAGAAATATTTAGTGGAAATATACGACATTTTGAGATTTAAAATAATGTCACATACGCAAAAAAAAGGGGTGGAGGGAGGAACCCCAACAGATAGGAGAGCCTCTAAACAAGAAACAGAATTTAGAACAGAAATATTGAGGATGTTTGCAGAAATAAAACAAAGTGAGAAAAACTTAGAGATAAAATTAGAACAGGTGGATAATAAAATTGGGAAAATGGACAAAAAGATTGAGGAGACAGTAAGTGAATTGAAAGGACAGATCAAGGAGGTCTCAAAAAGAGTGGATGAAGGATTAAAAAAGACTAAACAGGAAATGAAAGAAATGAAGCGGGAAGAAGAAAAATGAGAAATGAGATAGCAGATTTAAATAAAATGCAGGAAGAAATAAAAGATTCTATTGCAATGAACGAACTAAAACAGAGAGAAGTTAATTTAAGATTAAGGCAAATTCCGGAAGTACAAAATGAAAATATAAAAGAAAGACTAACAAAAGAAATAGCGCAGTGGATGGAGTTGGCGGAAGAAGCTGTGGCGAAGACAATACAAAATGCATACAGAATGAAAATTAAATCAAACAGGGTAAAGAAATTTCCAGGGGACTGTTTAGTTACATTTAAAGATAGAGAGATGAGAAACCTGATTTTGCAAAGGAATAGAGAGAAGAGACTATATATCGATGGAAACTACATAATTATATTTAAAGATATTCCAATAAGGCTGCTGAAACGAAGAGAACCGTATAAACCACTGGTGCAACTGCTTAAGAAAAATAGGATTGACTTTCGATGGGAATTTCCGGAAGGTGTCTCATTCTTTTATAAAGGAGTTAAAAGAAGATTGACAAGCCCCGAGGAAATAGGAAAGTTCACAAGAAGATATAAAGAGCTTCAACAGGGAGAGGAGGAGTTTAAAGGAGCAGAGGGCGGACTAAGACTGAGGGAGGAACCAGAATTGGGAGAAGAAGAAGAACAGAACGGAGGAAAATTTGAGGAAGACGAAGAAGAGGAAGAAGGAGAAGAGATAGAAAGAATATAGGATAAAATTCAAACTCGATCAGTGGTAAGGAAAATGACGTTAAAATTATGGAACTGGAACATTAATGGAATGAACGATAAGAAAAAACGGAACGGAATTGAACGTATTCTAAAAAAGAAGAACTTGGACATCATATGCCTTCAAGAAACACATGTGGCCAAGAAGCATAGGAAAATTCTTATCAATAAGAGGTTAGGGAATGAATTCATATCTTCGGATAAAGAAAAAAAGAGGTGTAGTACTTTACATTAAAAATAAAATTGAATCGCACCAATTATTTAAGGATGAGGAAGGAAGAATAATAGCGGTTCGTATTAAATGGCAAGGTGAAATATTGATAATAATCGGGATTTACGCACCAAATGGTAACAAAACAGAGTTCTTTAGATTATTGGAAGAGAAGTTATTTGAACATATGGACCAAAAAATCATAATAATGGGAGACATGAACGGGGTGGTTTCAATTGAAATGGACAGATTAAGGAAAACGAAGAACAAAGAAGGAAAGTTACCTAAGACATTCTTTATGATGACCAAGAATTGTAATTTAATAGATATTTGGAGACTTAGGCACCCTCTGGAGAAACAATTTACATATCACTCAGAACCGAACCAATCAATGTCAAGAATAGATCAAATATGGATATCAAATGAATTGACACCAAGAATTCAAAAAATTGAAATCCAGGCCAAAGTTGTTTCGGATCATAACCCAATAGAAATGGAGATGAAGGGAGCTGAAGAACGAACCTTCAGATGGAGGTTGAACGATAACTTATGGGACGATCAAAAGTTCGTTGAAAAAATACGGAAGAAACTATTTGAATATTTTCTGGATAATTTAGATAAAGGGGTGAAAATAAGTGTGGTATGGGATGCAAGTAAGGCAGTAATGAGGGGCCTTTTTATTCAACAAAATGTGTGGAAAAGAAAAAACAAAGAAAGAAGGACAAAAGAGATTCTGAGACAGATTATGGACAATGAACAAAAATTGATTAAAAACCGAACAATGAAAGGATAATGCAGGAAATAAAATCCCTCCAAACCCAATTTGCTATGTTAATAAATAAAGAGGTTGAGTGGAACATCAAAAGGTTAAGACAGAAAAATTTTGAATTCGCCAATAAGTCAGGAAAATGGCTTGCTTGGCAAGTTAAAAGGAGGAACGAACAAAATACAATCAGCAAAATACAAATAAATGGAGAAGAAACAACTGACCCGAAAGGAATTAGAAAAGGATTCGTGGATTTTTATGAGCAACTATATAGGAATAAAGAAAGGAACAATATAAAAAAATAGAAAGATATTTAAAAGAAAAGATGGTGAGGAAGATTTCGATAGATCAAAAGGAACAGCTAAATGCCCCAATATATAGAGAAGAGGTAGAAGAAGTGATAAAAGAATTGAAAAGAGGGAAAGCACCGGGCCCAGATGGGTTTACATCGAGCTATTATAAAGAAATGAAAGATACATTGATGACTCCGTTAATTGATGTGATGAATAACATCCTAAAGGAAAGAGATATCCCAGACACATGGAAGGAGGCATTTATCACAATAATTCCAAAGCAAGACTCGGATCTAACCCAAGTTAAGAATTACAGACCTATCTCTTTATTAAATACGGATTATAAGATTTTTGCTGGAATCCTAGCCAAAAGACTAAAAAAGATACTAACAAAAATTATACATGAAGACCAAGCGGGTTTTTTACCGGGCAGGCAAATAAGAAATAACACAAGAAGTATAGTTAATTTAATTGAATACCTTTCTGATAGATGTGATAAACCAGCCAGTCTAATCTTCGTAGATGCGGAGAAAGCCTTCGATAATGTAGTCTGGGATTTCATGTTAAAAAATTTGGAAATTATGGAGGTGGGCCAAGAGTTTCTAAATGGCATAAAGGCAATTTACACAGAACAGAAGGCGAGACTGATAATTAATAATATCATCACTGAAGATATAAAAATATCCAAAGGAACAAGACAGGGATGTCCGCTTTCGCCGCTGCTCTTTATTGTGGTTTTGGAAGTCTTACTAAATGCAATAAGACAAAATAAACAAATTAAAGGGGTAACATTAGGTTCAAATGAGTACAAAGTTAAAGCCTACGCAGACGATGTGGTCCTAACAGTGGAAGAACCTATAGAGAGTATAAGGGAGATCTTGGAAGAGATGGAGAAATTTGGGAAGCTAGCAGGATTTAAATTGAATAAGAGTAAGACAAAAATGATTGTTAAAAACTTAGATCAGGATAAGATTGAATTAGTACAGCAACGAACCGAAATTGAGGTTGTTAAAAAGGTTAAATATTTGGGACTCTGGCTTACCAACAAAAACATCGATTTATACCAAAATAACTACACCCCGGTTTGGAATGGAATTAAAAAAGATCTGGAGGTCTGGGCCAGGATGAAATTATCATTCTGGGGAAGAATATCTATGGTCAAAATGATGGTGCTCCCAAAGTTGTTATTTTTATTCCAAACGATACCCATATTAAAAGGTACAAAAAAATTTTAAAGAATGGCAAAAGGTGATCTCTAGATACGTCTGGGAAGGAAAGAAGCCTAGAATTAAGTTTAAGTTATTAACAGATGTAACAGAAAGAGGGGGCTTCGCCCTACCAGACATGAGACTGTATTACGAAGCAGCATGTCTGTGTTGGATAAAAGAATGGGTAAAGCTGGAGAATAAAGAACTACTAGATTTGGAAGGGCACAATAATAGATTTGGGTGGCATGCGTATCTATGGAGGGATAAAAAGAGAGTGCATAAAGAATTTTGTAGCCACATCTTTAAAGGTCCACTAATAGAGGTCTGGGACAGATATAAAAATATATTAGAACCGAAAACCCCACATTGGCTATCTCCGTTGGAGATAATAAGTGTAAAGAAAGTTAATATGAGAGAAAAGTGGGGAAAGTATGGAGAAATGGTTACTAATGAAGGAGGGAAGTGGAAAGTAAAATCATACGATCAGGTTAAAGTATTTACATATGACTGGCTGCACTATTTTCAGATAAATGAAATGTTTAAAGAAGAGGTGAAGGAAAGGGGTTACGAGGAAAAGGAATCGGAATTTCAAAAAGAGATAATAAACAACGAATATAAAAACCTGTCAAAAATGTATAAAATATTGTTAGAGTGGAACACGAAGGATGAGGAAGTAAAATCTGTCATGATACAATGGGCAAGGGATTTCGGCTATAATATTCAACTAGAGGATTGGGAAAAGTTATGGAGAGTGAACATAAAATTTACGGCATGCACGTTACTGAGAGAAAATGTGATGAAGATGCTTTACAGGTGGTATATGACACCTGTAAAACTGGCTAAGATGTATAAGGCAGATAACAAATGCTGGAAATGTAAACAAAAGGAAGGGACTTTCTATCATCAATGGTGGGAGTGTAAGAAAGTTAAAAGCTTCTGGGATGAAATTTACAACGAAATGAAAAAGATGTTAAGTTACACTTTTGTAAAAAGCCAGAAGCCTTTTTATTAGGCATTGTGGGAAAGGATATCAAAAGGAAGGATTGCAAACTCTTCCAGTATGCGGTAACGGCAGCCAGAATTGTGATAGCTCAGAAGTGGAAGCAGGAAGAAATCCCAACGATAGCAGAGTGGAGAGTAAAACTGACAGAATACGCTGAGTTGGATAAATTAACAGGGAAAATCAGATATACTAAGGATCAAAAGTTTATTGAGGAATGGGTGAAAAGAGTGGCGACTCTGGAGAATAAATGTTTTGTAAATACAACGCTAGTGGGATTTAAAGAGGCACTGTAAAGAATTAATAAGTATTGTTTAATAGAAATAATGTATGAAGGAAGGAACGAATGGCAATATGAAAGAATGGAATGTGTTTTAAAGATATAAATACGAATGAATGTCAATGACGCTGAAGGAAGTTCAAAATGTATGAGATATATTGAAATATGGATATACTGTTTAAAAAATGGGAAATCAATAAAATTTTTGAAATACAAAAAAAAAAAATAAATAAATAAAGAGAAGCTCATAAAAAGCAATTGTACCGAAAGGAATTATTGTGAAAACAAGAAATATTTGCGGTGGGGGGGACACCAAATTATGTCCTCGCTCTGGTGCCGTATTACCAAGCTCTGCCCCTGTTGTGTGTGTAGGGGCTTTCAAACCACATTTTTCTTTTTTTAAAAAATGGTTTTTTTTATTAAAGTTTTAGTTTACAAAAATACATGCGTTGTCTCTTTTTTCAAGTTGTGTTTTCTACAGATCAGTTTCATTTGTTGCGAGACATTAGTGTTGCATGCAGTACAGTCATACCTTGGAAGTCGAAAGGAATCTGTTCCAGAAGTCCGTTTGACTTCCAAAACATTCGGAAACAAGGTGTGGCTTCCGATTGGCTGCAGGAAGCTGATTGGCTGGTTTGGTGCCTCTTTGGATTGCTATGGTATTAGAGTCTATACAGTTAGTCCTGCATTTTCCTGAGTCTTGGTAATAGATTTGTTTGAGAGTTTGTTAGAAGTTGGGACCAAATTTCATGTTAGTTTGTACTGCTAATAGGTATTTCCATTCTAGGCAATCAAAAGCTTTGAGACTGTCTAGGGACACAATTGTCAGTGGGAGTTTTAGTTGCCTTGCTGTGTTCGATAAGATTCAGTAGTTTCCTTATGGGGTCTGTTATATTGCGACCAGGGATGAAGCCCATCTGGTCTGGGGCTATTAATTTGTGTGGGAATTTTTTTAGGCCAAAATTGATGTGGATATCTTGTAGTCTTGGTTTATTAATGAGATTGGGTAGTATGATTCTACTTTGAGGCTGTCTTTGAGTGAGTTTTGGGATAGAGAGTATTTTGGAGGCGGTCCAGGTTTTAGGAATGGTCCCCCCTTTTATGATGTCGTTAAATAGGCAAGTCATGTAAGGCATTAGGGGTTATTGGAATTTCTTGTAGAATTCTGCTGTAAAGCCTGGGGCTTTGTGTGGTCTCAGGTTTTTGAGGACCGTATGTATTTCCTCCAGGGTGATAGGACTGTCCATGAATTCCTGTTCCTCATCAGTTAAGGTTGGCATGGTCTGTCCTGCTAGGACATTTCTGATTTCCTCCTCAGGTGGGTTGTGGAAAGTGTATAGGTTGGAGTAAAATTCCGCAAATTCTGAGGTTTTCTTTGGGGGAGAATGTTACGTTGCCGTCTTTTTTTGGCGGTGCTGTGTATTCTTGTTTTGAGTGATGTTTTCCTACACCTGTTTGCTAATAGTCTGGAGTTTCCCCCTCCATACTCATAGAAGCATTGCTTTGAGTATATAATGTTGATCATTGTTTTGGTTGATTTCTAGGGAATCTAGTTACCTCCTTTTTGTTTAAGGTGTCCTTTAGCTCCTGTTTGTTTGTATTGTGATGAGAGGGTCGTGATGTCTTGTTCTATTTTGCTAATTTTTGAGGATTCGTTGAAGTAGTTCTGGAGAATTTTTGTGAGACTTTCTCTAAATAGTTTATTTGTGTTTAGGATGAGACTGAAGGACCATGATGGGGTGGTTCATGTTTCTTCTCCTATTTCAAGTGTAGCTTCTACTGGGGCGTGGTCTGTGATTTTAATGCTACCTATGTTTGTTGAGTCAACCAAGGGAATCAGACCTTGTGTGAGCAGAATGCTATCTAATTTGGAGACTGTGCCGTGGCGCCCAGACTGGAATGTGTGGCTGGTGTCTCCCGGGTTTTCTTCGCCCCGTATGCCATAGAGATCTCTTCTTTTTTTTAGCATTTTGTAAGAGTCCCTAATTGTTTGGGGTTTCCTTTGGAAGAAGGTTGCCCATGGGGTTGCAGGGTGGATATCTTTCAGGGAGATACCTCTCATATTTAAGTGAGGTCACCTCCCAGGATTTCTTCCCTATTGGAGAAGGAGAGGAATTTGTTTAGAGTTTTCTGGATGAACTCTAGTTGTTTCGAGTTTGGGGCAAATATGGAGCTAATTGTCAGTTTAGTTTTGCCATCCGGTGTCCCTTTAGCGAAAATGAATCTGCCTCTTTTGTCATTTAGGACTGTCGTGGCTTTGAAGTTCAGGTCTCTACTGAGTAATATGGCTACTATGCAGGTCTTTCCTAGGCCAGGTGCAACCCATTGTTGACTGAAGCGGAGATCGCTCAGGAGTTTGCTTCTTTTGGGTGGATTGTGTATTTCTTGTAGGAAGGCAATGTGTGGTTTCATGGTGTTCACATACGAGGCGATGCATTTTCTTTTGATAGGGTTTCCCCAGCCCCTCACGTTTAGTGCAATTGCTTTTAAGCTAGCCATTCTGCTTGTCTACTCTATAGGATGATTCCCTGCTGAGAATCAGCGTGGTGTAGTGGTTAAGAGCAGTGGATTCGTAATCTGGTGAACCGGGTTCGATTCCCTGCTCCTCCACATGCAGCTGCTGGGTGACCTTGGGCTAGTCACACTTCTCTGAAGTCTCTCAGCCTCACTCACCTCACAGAGTGTTTGTTGTGGGGGAGGAAGGGAAAGGAGAATGTTAGCCGCTTTGAGACTCCTTAGGGTAGTGATAAAGCGGGATATCAAATCCAAACTCTTCTTCTTCTTCTTCTTCTTCTTCTTCTTCTTCTTCTTCTTCTTCTTCTTCTTCTACTTCTTCTCCCCATCTGGGCTGTCCTGTGTCTCTCACCTTATATTGTCTATCAAACCTATTTTGTTGCACTGGCATAAAGTGTGATGAGTGGGGGAAGAGGGGGGTTAGAATTAGATTTGGGTTAAAGAGTGTGGGGTATATTACAGAAAGTAACCCATATGTAGTTATATAGGTGTTTGTTTGGGGAAATGTGGACTGTCTGCTTCCAACCAGTTGGTACTGTGTCTCAGCTGGCATGGAGGGCCTTGTTTAAGAACAGGCTGTCCTCTCTGTCGTTTGCGATAGGGAACGGTCATTGAAATGGTGTTAAGTGCCTTGGTGACGCCTGTGTTTGGCTATAAGGTTTATAAGCAATGTTGTCAGTGTTGTTAATAACATTATTGGTTTGTTGGCGTGTTAGGGTAGGGATATGGGTATTGGCACGCTCTGGCGCAACCGTTGTGCTGGTTGTGTGTCAGATTTTAGCCTGTTTGTTGATTGTTTTATTGAGGTTGGGGGGTATTGTTTTAGTTTGTATGGGTTTCTTTCTTTGTTTTCCTTTTCTTGTACCTACTGATTTTGTTCGTTGCCTTTGTGTGATGATGGAAGAGACCGAGAGGTTGGCGGGTGTGTGTGTCTATTTTTGTGGTGGTTCTTTTTGTGCCGCCGGTGGGGTCCTTGGGGTGGGGGGCTGAGATTGTGGGTTGTTGGGGTGATTGAGGAGGGGGGAGTGGAGAGGGTGAATTGTTGTCGTCTGAGTATTGGGGTGGGGATGGGATGGGGGGGTCTCTATGGAGGGGTGGAGTAGGGGGATAGTGGTGGTGCTGGCAATATTAATGGCTTGAGGGGAGAGGAGAAAAGGAGGGGGGGTCACCAGTCCGTCAATTTGAAGTGATTTCCATATGCTTCATTTGGCTGTGGTGGTTGTTGCGGAGTTGTCAGTCTGTGGTATATGGGTTTCGCTGAGTTTGGTTTGTTGTCTTGTGTTGTACCTTCGGTGGGACGGTTCTGTGAGCCCAGGCCTGTTTGGGTTTCAGCATCAGCCCCTGGGTGAACTGACGATACGCCCTAGAACGCACTCTAGTGGTTAAGAGCAGTGGACTCGTAATCTGGTGAACTGGGTTCGATTCCCTGCTCCTCCTCATGCAGCTGCTGGGTGACCTTGGGCCAGTCACACTTCTCTGAAGTCTCTCAGCCCCACTCACCTCACAGAGTGTTTGTTGTGGGGGAGGAAGGGAAAGGAGATTGTTAGCTGCTTTGAGACTCCTTCAGGTAGTGATAAAGCGGGATATCAAATCCAAACTCTTCTTCTGCAAACTGTTTTTGTCTCACTGCCTTGATTTTATTTAAAATGGTGGAAGATTGCCCACCATTACCAGTCTTTGAATCTAGGATCCCCTCCCAACAAGCTCTTGAGCAATGCCCGTTTCCCCTCTTTTTAAATCAAGTGCTGTAGTCTAACGTTGTGGACAGATGGCAAAATTCCTTCAGAGTGAATGCTCTCTTTTTGGGGGGTGGGGGGGGGGAGATAGGTAGCATGTGCCAAGGCCTGCTGTGAAGGCTGAGGAAACTCTGTTCCCTGGGTGGGCTGCTTGCTGGCTCCTTTGAAATTCTCCAGCTTCCTCCCCATGGAGACCTTACAGCTTCCTGCCTCCTCTTTGTTGTTTATCCTATCTGGGTGTTCTGTCTGCAGTGGCTGTGTCCCAAATGCATGTCAAATATGCGCACCCCGTTTCTTGGCAATTCCCCGCCTCCCCAATCCAAGAGGTGTGCTCGTTAGTGTGAATATGCTATATGTATATATAATCAAGCTCATAGTTCCTAGTGGTGGGGGAACCTAGTAGTAGTAACACGGTAGAATGATGGGTATAGTTTGTGGGCATGCAGTGCCACCTGCTGGTGACTCCTTAGCATCACAGACACAAGAGTTCCTCGTTCTTCATTTCTATGCGCTGATGGTTTCATGCTAACTTACAGGAGGTGCAGCCCCCCACACGACCGACTTGTGGAATGCATTTTAATAATACAGGGGGCGGGGAAGATTAGGCATGTTTATGGATGATGGATTTGCAGATGGAGGGAGGGTACATCAGGGTACTATTCATGGGCTAGTTTATGTGTTTGTATGCAGAATTTGGAAAATACAGCCGTACCTTGGTTCTCGAACGTAATCCGTTCCGGAAGTCTGTTTTACTTCTGAAAACATTCAAAAACCAAGGCACGGCTTCCAGTTGGCTGCAGGAGCTTCCTGCACTCAATCGGAAGCTGCGTCAGATGTTCAGCTTCCAAAAAACGTTCGCAAACCGGAACACTCACTTCCAGGTTTGCGGCATTCAGGAGCCAAAACGTACAAATACCAAGACGTTCGCGAACCAAGGTACAACTGTATGGTTTTCTGGAAAGCATAGCATTGTAGAATTGTAGAGATGGAAGGGACCCAGAGAGTCATCTAGTCCAATCCCCTGCAATGCAGGATTCTCAGCTAAAGCATCCATGATAGATGACCATCCAACCTCGGCTTAAAAACCTCTACCACCTTCCAAGGGAGTCTGTTCCATGGTTGAACAGCCCTTACAGCCAGAAAGTTCTTCCTGATGTTAAGTCAGAATCTCCTTTCTTGTAACTTGAATCCATTGCTTTGAGTCCTATCCTCCTGAGCAGGAGAAAACAAGCTTGCTCCATCTTCAGTGTGACAGCCCTTTAGGTATTTGAAGATGGCTATCATATCTTCTCTTTTCCATGATAAACATACCCAGCTCCTTCAACCTTTCCTTCTAAGGCTTGGTTTCCTTGATCATCTTCCTTGCCCTCCTCTGCACACTTTCCAGCTTGTCAACATCCTTAAATTGTGGTGCCCGGAATTGGGCACTGTATTCCAGGTGTGGTCTGACCAGGGGCAGAATAGAGTGTACTAGTACTTCCCTTGATCTGGACACTGTTTTTAGTTTTTGTTGGAAGCCGCCCAGAGTGGCTGGGGAAACCCAGCCAGATGGGCGGGGTACAAATAATAAATTATTATTATTATTATACTTCTAGAATAGCATTAGCTTTTTTCGCTGCTGCATCACACTGTTGACTCATTCAAAAAAACCCCACAAATCTCTGTGTGGTTGCAGAACTCCAAGCTGAGGCTGATCAAAGTCTCAGAAACTAAACTAGACATTGAGAAGAGCTAGCTACCTGTTGGAAAGGCATCAAGGTCTTCACTGCTATATGCATGATTCCACATTGTTCCCAGACTGGGGTTCCTACAACCTTAATTAACTGTTTAGGGTCAGGGGACATGGCCTGAAGCAAACAGAGCAGGTGACATTCAAGGGCAGCTCTGGCCAGACTTGTCGTTATAGCACCAGAGTGAATCCTTTTGGCCACTTTATGCCACCTAATCTACAGACTGGGTAGCTGCACTGCCATGATCTATCCATCCGTTCTGTAGTCTTGGTGCTAATGCACAGCAGTTAACAGGCAGGTAGCTCCTTCTTCCAGCAAACTGCCCCCAGTAGACTGGAGAGAAAGGTGCCTTTATCTTGCTTTGAGTGAGCTGGTGCCTTACAAATACACAAACTGTCTATACATTTTACTGATGTTTAGCGATGGTTTGATCTTGTCAATGTCAGGGTAACCTTGGTGTTCTTTTGTCTTTTCTAAGAAATCTTACTATTGCAGAATTGTAGAATTGGAAGGGACCTCAAGGGTTGTCTAGCCCAACCCCCTGCAATGCACAAATCTCAGTCTCCCATCCAATTTGAAACCAGGCTGGTCCCTGCTTTGCTTTTCAAATGTGCCAGCAGTTTTATTGCTGCACCACTAGGAGGATAAACCACAAGGGAGATAGAAGTTGAACAACAACTTGTAACTTGCTAATGAAGTGCTTTTTCAACACCTTATTTTAATTTTTTAAAACAAAATCTCACCTCTTTACCAAATCTAGGGCTGCTTCTTCTTCTTTGGCAATCACTCATAGCCGAGTAAGATTGTCTTCCATAAACACGGTTTTAACAATGAGTCCGTATGTGACTGTGGAGGCCAATTCTGGATCCACACGTCCTTCCACAGTGGGGACAGTGGTTTCCGGGCGGGGGTTGATCAGAGCAATCATGGCTATGAGCTGTGATGGCTAGGCTCCATCTCCACAGTCAGAGGCAGCAATGTTTCTGAACACCAGTTGCTGGAAACCACAGGGGAGGTGAGTGCAATTCCACACAGGTCCTGCATGCAAGTTTCCCATAGGCATATGGCTGGCCACTATGAGAACAGGATGCTGGACTAGGTAGACCTCTCTTTATATGTTCTTATGTACTGTACAGTCATGGGACGCGGGTGGCGCTGTGGGTTAAACCACAGAGCCTAGGACTTGCCGATCAGAAGGTCGGCGGTTCGAATCCCCGCGACGGGGCGAGCTTCCGTTGCTCGGTCCCTGCTCCTGCCAACCTAGCAGCTCAAAAGCACGTCAAAGTGCAAGTAGATAAATAGGTACCACTCTGGCGGGAAGGTAAACGGCGTTTCCATGCGCTGCTCTGTTTCGCCAGAAGCAGCTTAGTCATGCTGGCCACATGACCCGGAAGCTGTACGCCGGCTCCCTCAGCCAATAAAGCGAGATGAGCGCCACAACCCCAGAGTCGGTCACGACTGGACCTAATGGTCAGGGGTCCCTTTACCTTACCGTACAGTCATACCTCATGTTATGTTTGCTTCAGGTTGTGCGTTTTCAGGTTGCGTCCCAGAAATACCAGAAAGGGTTATTTCCGGGGTTTGCCGCTCTCGCAGATGCGCAAAATGACGTCGCGCGCATGTGCAGAAGTGGCGAATCGCGACCCACGCGCGCAGACGCGGGTTGCGTTCTTTTCAGGTTGCGAACGGGCCTCCAGAACGGATCCCGTTCACAACCAGAGGTACAGTGGTGCCCCGCAAGACGAATGCCTCGCAAGACAGAAAACCCGCTAGACGAAAGGGTTTTCCGTTTTTGAGTTGCTTCGCAGGACGAATTTCCCTATGGGCTTGCTTCGCAAGACGAAAATGTCTTGCGAGTCTTGAGATTTTTTTTTTGCTCCCCCCCCCTTTAATCTAAGCCGCTAAGCCTTTAATAGCCTTTTAGCAGCTAATCCGCTAAACCGATAAGCCTTTAATAGCCGCTAAACCGCTAATAGCGCTAATCCGCTAATAGGGTTGCTTCGCAAGACGAAAAAACCGCTAGACGAAGACACTCGCGGAACGGATTAATTTCGTCTTGCGAGGTACCACTGTAATCCAAAAGGAACTGACGGCTAGTGAACTTGCAATTCTAGAGTGTAGCTGGTCACAACCCAGAAGGGAGAGAGGAGTGGCATTTTACTGTCTTCCCCTTCCTGCTTTCCAGTCTAGGTTGGGCAAAGAGTAATGTTTTTATTTGGCACAGATGCATGTGGATTTGGTGGGGATTCCAAATTTGGGGGTGCAATTCCTTGTTTCCAGCAATCACCCAGCTGAGCTGTGATAGTCAGGGGCAGCTGAAGCAAGGCCCTCAGCAGTGTGGAACTTAAGGTGATGTGGCTGTGAATGAGACATTACTATTTTTATATCTACATTTGTTGAGAGTTGGTGAAACCTTTATTATTGGTCTTACATGACAGCTTCACTAATCAGCGTAGGCAGAGAGGTGATAATAATATAATAATAATTTATTTATACCCCACCCATCTGGCTAGGTTTCCCCAGCTACTCTAGGCGGCTCCCAACAGAATATTAAAAACACAATAAAACATCAAACATTAAAAACTTCCCTAAACAGGGCTGCCTTCAGATGTCTTCTAAAAGTCAGATAGTTTATTTCCTTGACCACTGACGGGAGGGTGTTCCACAGGGTGGGCGCCACTACCGAGAAGGCCCTCTGCCTGGTTCCTTGTAATGTTACTTCTCACAGTGAGGGAACTGCCAGAAGGTCCTTGGAGCTGGATCTCACTGTCCGGACTGAGCTGATGGGGCTGTTTAGAACAATTTCCTTGATGTTTTGCACGACTCTTGGGTTTGGGTCCATTTGTGCTGATATTCTCACTGCTTCCTCTTCCTCCTCCTTCACCTCCCGTTTCAGCAACTTCTCTTGGACTCTGTGCCACAGCCAACACCCTCCTTAGTCCTGCAACCTTTTGTCCCTATGGTACTTTATATTACCTGTGACAGGTGCCGTGTTGAGCCAGGCCTCCTCAGGTATAACTTGCAGCCTCTTGGTAAAGCAGGTGTCAATGGGCATTAATATCCCTGTCCATGGCTAGCAAAACCAGAATAAATTAGGTGAAAATGGCCACCATTGCTCAATAAAGTATGCACAATAAGAGCAAGCACATTAACTCCATCCATGTGTTAAAACCATGACAAATTGCAGAATTCGAGTCTTAGATTGGTGATGGATTTTAATGTTTTTAGCATAGAGGAGGTACAGTTCTGACACTGGACGCCAGCTGGGCTCCACTGATGCAACAGTAGTCCTTTGTAGGCGCACAAGGAAAGACACAGGCAGTTCATCTGGGGCCACTTTGTTCGTTGCAAGCAGAACAAACGATAGCAAGGCCCCCATGGACCCATAGAATATGATAAGATGTTCTGGGCCCAGAGTCTCCCAGGGAAGCAAAACAGACGAGAGGGGAGGGGGAAGAAGGGTCCCATAGCTTGGCAGGAGAACACATAATTTGTATGTTCTGGGAGAAATCTTGGGATGATCTCTAGTTGTGGGGTCTGCAGATTGCAGGGCCAGACGGTTACTTCTTCTAGTAAAGTAAAGCGACCCCTGACCATTAGGTCTAGTTGCAGACAACTCTGGGGTTGTGTAGCTCATCTCGCTTTATTGGCCAAGGAAGCTGGCGTACAGCTTCCGGGTCATGTGGCCAGCATGACTAAGCCGCTTCTGGCGAACCAGAGCAGCGCACGGAAATGCCGTTTCCCTTCCCGACGGAGTGGTACCTATTTATCTACTTGCACTTTGACGTGCTTTCGAACTGCTAGGTTGGCAGGAGCAGGGACCGAGCAACGGGAGCTCACCCTGTCGTGGGGATTCAAACCACCGACCTTCTGATCGGCAAGTCCTAGGCTCTGTGGTTTAACCCACAGCGCCACCCACTCAGGTAGCTCCAAGTACCTGAGACCAGTTGCTAGAACTGGAGCTGAGAAAGCTGGAGCCAGAAATGCAGATGTCAAAGAGATAAACAACTACCTGACATTTAGAAGACATCTGAAGGCAGCCCTGTTCAGGGAAGTTTTTAACGTGTGACAAATAATAAATTACAATTACAGTGGGCAGAAGATGCTGCTCTTGTTGACCCTGGCAACAGAAGAAATCAGGTTCCATGAATTTATGCTAGGCCAGGACAATGCAGAGGCTTCATGTTGCCTGCTAGTTGCTGGGGGCAATATGGAACGTCCTGTTTCCTTTGTGTGCTATCTCCTGTCTGGCCTGACCCCAGACTGTACCGATGGTAGAAGCCAAAGTGTTCTGTGAGGGTGGGTTCTGGGGGAACGCCCGCAGCAAACTGAAACCTCCTCAGGCAGCAGCCATTTTGAGTTCAGCCACTGTCTGTCGCAAGAGTGTCATAGGTGAAATCTACACACACATGAAAAACGCTGTGAAAATGCTTTTTAAAAAACGTTTTGAAAAATATGTTGCATTTGCCATAGCTCACCATCGCCATCTAATGTCACATTTGTATATTGCACTTTGCAAAATACTTAAAACGTTTAACAGTGGTGCCCCACAAGACGAATGCCTCGCAAGACGGAAAACCCGCTAGACGAAAGGGTTTTCCGTTTTGGAGGTGCTTTGCAAAACGAATTTCCTATGGGCTTGCTTCGCAAGACGAAAATGTCTTGCGAGTTCCTGCGGGGTTTCCCCCCCCTTTTTCCCAAGCCGCTAAGCCGCTTATCAGCTGATCCGCTAAGCCGCTTAACAGCTGATCGCTAAGCCGCTTATCAGCTGATCCGCTAAGCCGCTTAACAGCTGATCCGTTAAGCCACTAAGCCGCTTATCAGCTGATCCGCTAAGCCGCTTAACAGCTGATCCATTAAGCCACTAAGCCGCTTATCAGCTGATCCGCTAAGCCCGCTAAGCCACTAATAGCGCTAATCTGCTAAACGGCTAATGGGCTTGCTTCGCAAGACGGAGAGACTCGCGGAACGGATTCTTTTCGTCTTGCGAGGCACCACTGTATTTGCAGTTGTATAGCTGAGTCCATAGCTGTCGCTTTTGTTCCGCAGTTCAGTCTTCGGTGGCATCATTTTGTAAAGTTTGCAGTAGCTAAATGTCGCCCACACAGTTTGGGAGAGCAGATTTGGCTAAGGTCTGGTTGCATGAGATTCCCAGTTCAATTCTCTAGGATGCTGGCAGCCACTCTCCAAGGTTTGAGGCAGAAGTCCGTTTCATCCCTACCTGGAGATGCCTTCTGCATGCAAGGCAGCTACTGTACCTCTGAGCCAGGGCCCTTCTCCTAGCAGATTCCTGTTAATTGGACGTTGGTACTCAAAGCAGCGGGACGTGGGTGGCGCTGTGGGTTAAACCACAGAGCCTAGGACTTGCCGATCAGAAGGTCAGCGGTTCGAATTCCCGCAATGGGGTGAGCTCCCGTTGCTCGGTCCCTGCTCCTGCCAACCTGGCAGTTCGAAAGCACGTCAAAGTGCAAGTAGATAAATAGGTACCGCTCCGGCGGGAAGGTAAACAACGTTTCCGTGCGCTGCTCTGGTTCGCCAGAAGCTGCTTAATAATGCTGGCCACATGACCTGGAAGCTGTACGCCGGCTCCCTCGGCCAATAAAGCGAGACGAGAGCTGCAACCCCAGAGTCGGCCACGACTAGACCTAATGGTCAGGGGTCCCTTTACCTTACTCAAAGCACCACGGACCTTTCTGCCCTGTACTGGTTTGGAGAACTTGCATGTCACTTTTTTGGGCCAATCAAAAAATGTTCCAGCGAAGAAGCTTTCCTCCTTCATGGGCCACCGCCAGGATCTCCAGAAGGAGGCATGCTTCAACCTTCCTGAGACCTAATTCACAAACACTTACCCTGGATAAAGATTTGCCTGCTCCTGCCTTTTGGTCCTGGACGAGTGCCGTGAGATCTAACAAAGTTCTTTTTGTCATTCCCTTCTCAGTCTTGGTGTCCAAATCCTCCCCGAAGAAGCCTCGTGGCCGGAACATCTTCAAGGCTTTCTTCTGTTGCCTTCGCGCACAGAATGTCGGGCAGTCGGGCTTTGGTGGGGATCATGGCCCACACAAGGAGGAGACCAGCACCATTGCCAAGGTGAGTGGAGGCTGACGCAGTGATCGCTGAATTACACCCAGAGAGTATAACAGGCAGTGCTAGTAGTATCTGAGCTTCTTTTCTCTAGCAGCTTTCTGTATTCTAGCTGTCCAGGTTTAGGGTGTGCCCCATGAGGATATCAACTCTGTCCTAGTTCTCCAGCTACCCAAACCCTGAAATTGTCCCTGTCAGTGGCGTAGCGTGGGGGGTGCAGGGGGGGCCGGCCGCACCGGGCGCAACATCTGGGGGTTAGGGTTAGGGGGCGCAAATCCACGGGTTAGGGGGCGCAAATTACTTGCCTTGTCCCGGGTGCTGACAACCCACGCTACGCCACTGGTCCCTGTATTTGTTTAAATGATCTCTCTCGCTTGACACTTCCTCTCACCAGCATTTTTAACTTTTTAAACTCCCGGCTGACCAGAGTTCACAAGATACCTTTGTTAGCCTCTGTTTATATCTGACTGGCTCTCTCCCAATCAAAAATGGCTTTCAGGAGGGAGCAGTTACTTTGGATCGGAAGCAAGTGCTTCTACGGCCATTTCACACATTGCAGCAGTGCCGTGTAGGAAATAGCATAAACCCCACATGCCGAGCTGATCCATGACTATTGTGAATATCAGTATTTCACTGCTTGCTAATGAGCTGGGAAGCCATGGCTAGTCTCTGTGGGAAGACATATAAGGGGCTTCAGCCTATTTTCTATCCAGGGGAGGGAAACTCTTGTACAGTGGTACCTTGGTTCTCAAACTTAATCCGTTTCGGAAGTCTGTTCCAAAACCAAAGCGTTCCAAAACCAAGGCGCACTTTCCCATAGAAAGTAATGCAAAGCGGATTAATCCGTTCCAGACTTTTAAAAACAACCCCTAAAACAGCAATTTAACATGAATTTTACTATCTAACGAGACCATTGATCCATAAATTGAAAGCAATAATCAATATACTGTACTATAAAATAAATAAGACAGTATTGTACATGATAAAAATTAAAATTATCTTTTTTCTTACCTGCACTGATGATAGTCATTGTTTGGAGGGGGGGCTTTTATCCATTTCTGCAATCACACAATCAATCAGTCAATCAATCAGTAGCTGAAATGGGTTCCATGCAGTCACAAAAACAAATTAACCAAAAAAGCCTCAAAAACAAAAACGCGAAATAAATAGCAAAAACAAAAGTGCCAAACTTAATCCATTCCGGAAGTCCGTTTGACTTTTGAAATGTTCGAAAACCAAGGCGCAGCTTCTGATTGGTGCAGGTGCCCCGGAAACAATAACTGACAGCTGCATCAGATGTTTGGCTTCCGAAAAACATTTGAAAACTGGAACACTTACTTCCGGGTTTTTGATGTTTGGGAACCAAGGTGTTTGAGTATCGCAGCGTTTGAAAACCAAGGTACCACTGTAGATGCTGCTGGTCTCATAGCCCCATCCTTCCTCAAAACATATGCATTTGACCGCATTGTTGCCGCCACCCCATCTATAGATATCCTCCTCCGCTTTTAAAAAAGAAATATATATGAAGCTATATATGGTAAAAGGGACACGGGTGGCACTGTGGTCTAAGCCACAGAGCCTAGGACTTGTCGATCAGAAGGTTGGCGGTTCGAATCCCTGCGACGGGGTGAGCTCCCATTGCTCGGTCCCTGCTCCTGCCAACCTAGCAGTTCGAAAGCACTTCAAAGTGCAAGTAGATAAATAGGTACCGCTCCGTCGGGAAGGCAAACGGCGTTTCTGTGCGCTGCTCTGGTTCGCCAGAAGGGGCTTAGTCATGCTGGCCACATGACCCGGAAGTTGTATGCCGGCTCCCTCGGCCAATAAAGCGAGATGAGCGCCGCAACCCCAGAGTCAGTCACGATTGGACCTAATGGTCAGGGGTCCCTTTACCCTTTTTATATATGGTAAAGAAAACTACGCTGATCACATATATAGAGTGCTCATCCTCTCAGCACTGAATTTCTGCAGCCTGTCCCCCACACACTTTAGAGTTAAGGAGCTGAGGCTTCCTTCTGGGTCAGTTAGCAGGGCTCCCACACTGTTCTCAGTCAAGAAACCTTTTCTTTGAAGACTTGAGCCTCCACCAGCCTCCATCACAGTCCAAGCTTTTGAGGCTTGTAGGATCACTTGTGTCAACCTGAACCTACTCGTCCATTACCACCACTCTTTCATTCTAGGTAGAAAATGCAGGCTTTAGGATTCTGCTCCTTAAAACCTTAGTGGGCAAATTCAGAGGCTTTCTGAGATCCCTGATAGTAGTATTACACAGCCTTGCCTTTTTCATGATACCTACATCTCTGCTTTCCTCTTTCCCCTCCCCTTTTAGTCTGATCTGTTGCAGTGTCTTCAATACCAGTTTTACCAGGTATGTCTTTGTTCCAAAGCCAAGGGAGATCTGCATCTCCTCTTTAGCCAGGACTGTGTTTACCTTGTGCGCAAGAGTGCAAAAAAACATTCTCCACTGAGATGAACCTGCGTTTCGATTCTGACATCAGAATAAATGCAAGCAAATCTGCTCATCATTTGGTTGCATTACATACCTTTTCCTGCTAGCCATGGGAAGTGGACAAGGAGATATAATCAAAGCCCCACATTCTGATCTCTGCAAGTTCTGCTTTTCATACTCCACACCAACCCTTTGCCCTGCTCTTTCCAGGAAAAGGTCTGTGCTTTAGGAGCTCCATGTCTGAGCTGGGGTTTTTTGCCAGCTCCTTAGTGCTCTTTAGGGATGTGGGGGGCGCTGTGGGTTAAACCACAGAGCCTAGGACTTGCCGATCAGAAGGTCGGCGGTTCGAATCCCCGCGATGGGGTGAGCTCCCATTGCTCGGTCCCTGCTCCTGCCAACCTAGCAGTTCGAAAGCACGTCAAAGTGCAAGTAGATAAATAGGTACCGTTCCGGCGGGAAGGTAAACAACATTTCCGTGCGCCGCTCTGGCTCGCCAGAAGCGGCTTAGTCATGCTGGCCACATGACCCGGAAGCTGTACGCCGGCTCCCTCAGCCAATAAAGCGAGATGAGCGCCACAACCCCAGAGTCGGTCATGACTGGACCTAAAGGTCAGGGGTCCCTCCTTTAGTGCTCTTTAACACTCAACTGGAGCAAATGTCAGTTCCGCAGATGGTTGTTTGGTCTGATTGAGCTTTAAAGAGCGGGTTTTCGCAGGGAAAGCTGCTGAGTCTTAAAACAAGTAGTGCTGGCTGATGTCAATTGGGACTGGTAAGGTGGATGACAGGGAGACTTAACTTTAGGTGGAGCCGCAACCAATGACAGGCAGAGCCAGCCCCTGACTGGTTGTAAGCAAGGACAGCCCGAGGTTAATGGGGCAGTGCCCAATTCACCATAATGGACCAGCCTCAGCTGAGGACAGAGTGGAAACCTGTGATCCTGCAGACCTTGTTGGACTCCAGTTCCCATCCCAGTGGTCAGGGATGATGAGAGCAGTAGTTCAGCAATATCTGGAGGGCCATAGGCTCCCCACCCCTGCTCTAGTAGCCTTTGCCCATATTTGCCCCAGTCCAGGCAAAGTCAGTCACCCCTAAGTCCTTTTGAAGCCAATGGAGCAAGTTTGTCACAACTAATACAAATCCCACTGTTTTCAACGTTGCAGCGTTTGAGTGAGACTTAATTGCAACTAACTTAATCTTGATTGTTCTAGGCTAGATAATCTCCACAGTAACAAGGGCCAGAAATGTTCTTGAGTGAAAGAAGGAAAGAAAGAGAAAAACAGAGTGGTTTTTAAAATTGCCTTCCACATACATGCCTCCAGGCGACGTACGAAATATGCCAAATGATGCTCTAGATACCAAATTCCACTTCTGGATGGCATAATGATGGGTGCGCAATGTACACACAGTCCTCCCTACATACGTGTGCGCGTGTGTGCATGTGGGTATTTGTGTTTGTGAGTGTGGGAGAAAAGAGACCTTCACTTACTAAGCAAATTTCTTTTCCTGCCCCGCTGCTATCGAGAGAGGTATCGGTCGCAGACCTCATTCGTACAAAGAGCCAGACTTCTTATGGGGGCAGCAGGAGAAGCGGTCACATGGTTGAATGTTTCGCAATGGGTGGGGACGGGGGACTTCTACACGTACCAGACAAGCACATCTGGGAGAAAGCTGGCCTGCAACTCTTCTTGACAGCTCTCTTCCTGTGTGAAGGGGCTAATGGCCGTATTGCAGCACAGTTTTCACAAACAGACAGAGTGCTTCTGAATGCAAACTACTGCTGCCTCCTCACTGTAACGCCTCTCTCGGGGCAGGTGCCTCTCCAACGTCAGCCATGTGGAGATTGCTATAAGTAGTTCCCTCTGGTGGGTGCCTCCACATGGAAAGAGCTTCAGGCACGACAATCTTGCCACGCAGTCTAGACAGTTTCCCCCACGATACCAATAACTTCCAAGGGCAAACGAAAATTAAAATGCACCATTGTGGAGAATATTGCTTGCCCTATCGCAGGCATAGGCAAACTCCGGCCCTCCAGATGTTTGGGACTACAATTCCCATCAACCCTAGCTAACAGGACCAGTGGTCAAGGATGATGGGAATTGTAGTCCCAAACATTCGGAGGGCCGGCGTTTGCTTATGCCTGCCCTATCGGCATGGTAGGCTTTTGGAAGGGAATGGGATCCCTAGCCACCTGTTGGCTATTTTTATTTATTCAATTTTTGAATTTGGAACATGGTTGGCTTTCATTGGGCTGGACCTGGTGCATGCATTTCTGAGGTGCTCAACTCCTTTTGCAGTGGGGTTCGTTTTTGAAAAACCATACTTCCCTATCAAGAAAGGTCTGTTCGAAGCAAGAGGTAGCCTCTGCAGTGCTGATGTACTGCAGAAATAGGGAACATGAGGCTCTCCAGATGTTGTCGGGCGCACCTCTCATTATTCTTGACCATTTGCCATGTTGGCTAATGGGAGCCTGAATCCAGCAAGATGTGGGGAGCCACAGGGTCCCCACCTGGCGTAGGACCAATTTCTATAAAAATGCCTCCTGTAGCAAAATTGATGTGATGAAGCTGCAAAACAAGGACTTTTTACCTCAGTTAGAACAAAAGAGGAGTTAGTACAGTGGTACCTTGGTTCTCAAACTTAATCCGTTCCGGAAGTCCATTCCAAAACCAAAGCGTTCCAAAACCAAGGCGCACTTTCCCATAGAGAGTAATGCAAAATGGATTAATCCGTTCCAGACTTTTAAAAACAGTCCCTAAAACAGCAATTTAACATGAATTTTACTGTCTAACGAGACCTTTGATCCATAAAATGAAAGCAATAAACAATCACACAGTCACACTACCAATCAATCAGTAGCTGAACTGGGTTCCACACAGACACAAAAACAAAACAAAAAAGCCACAAAAATGCAAAATAGAATGCAAAAACTGACAGACCTCAGCGTAACACTCAAAACGGAAGAGTGGCACTCAAATTGGAAGTGCAAGGCTCAAAACAGAGCATGTTTGGCTTCCGGAAAAAAATTCACAAACCGGAACACTTACTTCTGGGTTTGCAGTGTTTGAGTTCCAAGTTGTTTGAGTACCAAGGCATTTGAGAACCAAGGTACCACAGTATTATTATTAATAATAATAATAATAATAATAATAATAATAATAATAATTTTTATTTATACCCCGCCCTCCCCAGCCAAGGCCAGGCTCAGGGCAGCTAACAAGCAATAATTAAAATAAGTTGAATGAATACAACTTAAAAACAAAATTAAAATACAACATTAAAATATTGAAACATTAAAATGTAGCCTCATCGCAGGAGGAGAAAGGAAAAGAAAAAAGAAAGATGGGGAGGGAATCAAACTGGCTCCAAGCCAAAGGCCAGGCGGAACAACTCTGTCTTACAGGCCCTGCGGAAAGAAATCAGATCCTGCAGAGCCCTGGTCTCATGAGACAGAGCGTTCCACCAGGCTGGAGCCAGTGTTGAAAAGGCCCTGGCTCTGGTTGAAGCTAATCTAACTTCTTTAGGGCCCGGGACCACTAGGGTGTTGCTATTTATGGACCTTGGGGCTCTCCATGGGGCATACCTGGAGAGGCGGTCCCGTAGGTACGAGGGTCCTAGGCCGTGAAGGGCTTTAAAGGTCAAAACCAGCACCTTAAATCTGATCCTGTACTCCACCGGGAGCCAGTGCAGCTGGAAAAGCACTGGGTGAATATGCTCCCATGGCAGAGAACCCGTGAGGAGCCTTGCTGCAGCATTCTGCACCCGCTGGAGTTTCTGGGACAGCTTCAAGGGCAGCCCCGCGTAGAGCGAATTACAGTAGTCAAGCCTGGAGGTGACTGTCGCATGGATCACTGTGGCCAGGATTGAGATTTTGGTTGTTGTTAAAATTTGCAAAGTAAGGGGAGTGCAAAGTTGGGACGACGCCAACTCATCCCACCTTTTCATATGTAGGCTGGTGGGTCTTCTGGAAAGAAATATTAGGACCACAGTACAGTACAGAGATTGTTAAATATGTCAACTGGGGCTGCTTCCAGGAAGGTGTTCATTGTAGGATTATGCATGCAAGTTTTTTGCAGCGTTGACATCATGTCAGTGAAATAAAAATGCCAGCCCCATATTCTCCTCCCACCCAAAGCTCACACACATTATCAGGAAAGCTTCAAGAATGTCGTGCCATGAGGTCTAGTGATGGCCATTAGCTCAAGTGACTTTTGACGATAACCCGTTTCTTCATTTGGGGTCATAGCTGATCAAATGCGCTCATGCACAGGCTTCTTGCACCTTTAATGGTTGTATGGAAGAGCAAATAATTCTCAAATCCCTTTCTTCTGTGCAATGACTGAAGAGTCACAGAAGCCTTATTCTCTGTTGCTGCTGGTCAACCTACAAAGCGATGCAAAGCACATATACATACACTAACCCAAATAACATTTCCCTTTATTCTGATCTGTGCCATTTCAAACTCTAAACTTTCTTACCAGAGGTTGCCAGTTGCTCAGTAGTCTTAAAACCTCCCTTTAAAAAATAAAAATTGAGAGTTCTAGCAAAAATGTGAAAAGATTCATGAGGACCAGAGCCTTAGGCCATTTGAAAGTTTTTGCATAGGGTTTCTACTCCTTGTTGGCATTGCCTGTGCTATTCTCTAAAGATGGGGAAAGTTTCCTAAGTCAGTTTTGAAGGACTTCATATTGGGCTTCCCCAGTGCTTTGAAGCTTGTTAAATATACCTCCAGCAACATGATTCACCATGCCAATGGTGGCTAAGTTTCCTCTCTTCTTCTAGATTCCTGGGACGTGCCTTCTCCCTGAGGTGACTCTGCAAGACCAGGGCCGAATCTGTGTGGTGATTGATCTGGACGAGACCTTAGTGCACAGCTCCTTCAAGGTGACGTTCTAAGGATACTCCTCCTTTTCTGAGAAGTGTGGGGGGGAGTGGTTGAGGCAGATGGCATCCTTGGCCCACCAGACGTTGCTGGACTACAAGTCTAATCATCACTGGCCATCTGGTTGGGGCTGATGGGAGTTGTAGTTCGGCAACACCTGGAGGGCCACAGGTTCTCCATTGCTGACAGTGCAGGAGAGGACTAGCTTGGTGCAAGTCAGCTCCCTCTGAGAACAGCTGCAAAGGCATACGAAGGGATGAGGGCCTTATGGAATATCAGTGTGAAGGATAGGACTGGGGCTTTGGGAGTTAAACAAAAGGACCTCAACTTCATTGTTTTCCTGGTTAGAAGTTTTCTAAACCCAGAGGGTTGTATCCAGTGCAGCCTGTACATCAACAGAAGGAACTTCTGCTCATTCAATGGGACTTCCCCTTCCCCTTCTCCCCCCACACAGCCCAGCCATGCACCTTCAGATTCTGCTCCAGGTGGTTGTGGAATCTTCTGGAGCGGATTTTGATGTCTCTGCAGGAGGTTGCAAGGGGGAAAGAGAGCAAGGTTAAGTCAATGAGGTCCACTTGCATGGTGGTGCATTCTGTGAAGAATCTCCTTGCTTCTCCCATTATTTTAATAAATTAGTTCTGTGTCTACAACCAGTTACTACTGCATACTAGACACACAATGCTGTTATTCCTCGGAATGGAGAAGGAAGCCTATTTATTCACGGCTGTTTCCATTTCTGCCCTGGGAAGGTGGCTTGAACCCTTCTCACCTCACCCCTACACGTAAACTCTGCCACTGGAAGAAATTTCTAATATTTGCGTCTCTGGTTCTGATCAGCAAATTCTGAAGACGCTATCAGGGGACCGAACAAGCAACAGGAGTTAGAAGGACTCAGCGATTGATTCCCTGACAAATCATTTGATTCTGTTATTAGGTGCCTTGTTGTTTCAGACAGGGCCACATTCCATTGTGGCAGCCTTCCAGGGGCCACATGGCAGAAGCAAAAGTGGGTGGGGCAACAGATGTGACTCCTGCCTTTGTATGCTAGAATACATCCCAGCCACGCAGATGACTGAGTTTTCCACACACGCATCCTGGCATTGATGGATGTGGCCTGGGCAAAGTCTCAAAGGACCAGATATAGAGACTTAGAGGGGCTTCATTCAGCCAGACATCTGAAGGCAGCCCTGTTTAGGGAAGCTTTCAATATTTAACAGACCACTGTATTTTAATATTTTGTTGGAAGCCGCCCAGAGTGGCTGGGGAAACCCAGCCAGATGGGCGGGCTATAAATAATAATAATAAAAAAACCATCATCATCATCATCATCATCATCATCATCATCTATGAACCGGAGATTCCCTGCCACTGGTTTGAGTGGACATGACTGTCATTTTAAAAGCATATGGCTCAGTACTGGTAAATCGAGCCAAACCCAGTGAGCATCAGATAGTGTCCTTAGGTGCAGAGATTGGCGCGACGTATGGATAGAGTGGGGCAGAATTGTGTTGTGTTACCTTCCAAAAACTAACATGCACCTTTTATAACATTTCTCAGCCAATCAACAATGCTGACTTCATAGTGCCTGTTGAGATAGAGGGGACAACCCACCAGGTAAGGTTGCTGTTGCTGGGGGGAACGTCCCCTACCCACCCACCCACCTTGTCAACAGTTTTGGGTTCTCATTGGCATCTGTTCTGGAAGTGGGGCAGCAGAGGGAGGGGGCAATCTCATTTTATGTGCCAAGGAGACCGCCTCCCATTTTGGTGCTGTAAAGAAGAGGAGGAAGACCGTTCTATGAAGGCTTCGGCCTGGTTCAAGTAATCCAGGATAGGCTGTTACCAGGCAACACGGCCTATTCTTGATTACTTGTTTCAGGAGGTAGCTGCTTCCAGCAGATGTTAAAGGAGGAATGGCTTGGATCGACTGCGTGGCAGCGAGAGCTCCGGGAGAGAGAAATGCGACCAGCTGGAAACTGGTGGGGAATCCTTGAGGAATCTTGATGTGCTTTGCAGCATTTGTGCTTCTTTGCTGTATTCCGCTCACCACAATGCCTGTGGCAGCTTGTATTCATTTAAAATGAATTAGGGTTAGTCTAAGCACGCTAAGGGGGACGCGGGTGGCGCTGTGGGTTAAACTACAGAGCCTAGGGCTTGCGGATCAGAAGGTCGATGGTTCAAATCCCCGCAACGGGGTGAGCTCCCGTTGCTCGGTCCCTGCTCCTGCCAAGCTAGCAGTTCAAAAGCACGAAGTGCAAGTAGATAAATAGGTACCACTCTGGCGGGAAGGTAAAGTGCATTTCCGTGCGCTGCTCTGGTTCGCCAGAAGCGGCTTAGTCATGCTGGCCACATGACCCGGAAGCTGTACGCCGGCTCCCTCGGCCAATAAAACGAGATGAGCGCAGCAACCCCAGAGTCGTCCGCGACTGGACCTAATGGTCAGGGGTCCCTTTATCTTTACCTTTGAGCATGCTAAAGGGCAGTTGTTTCCCTATCCATCAATAAGGATGCTGGTGACTTGAAGAAGTCAGCTGGTAGTTTGCCACACCTCAACCAGCAAGACAGCTTCTTCCAGAGTCCCCAGTTAAGGAAAAAGCTCCTCTCCCACACATTTCAAAGTAGCAAAGTCTTCATTATCTACAGACGCAAGACAAAGCTAAACAGCACTGTCTACTATAGACAACTCTTCTGGTCTCTGAAGTAAAGATGCATGTGTACAGAGAATTCTAATAATACTATATCACCATGCTAGCTAACGCTGCTGTGTGAAACTCACAGCCTCTTCCCCTGACTCTCACAGATTCAGAGTCAGACAGCAAACAGGACAGGGCATGGACAAGACAAGACAGCTTAATGAAAACAATGCCCTAGAGACTGTTATACCCATCTCTACGCACACTTCATATTTCCTGAAGCAATGGGAGGGCGAATGACTCATGCACTCAACCTAGCTGATTTTGCTATGGTACCCTTATCTCAGAACATCCAGACGTGTGCTTCTCAAGAAATGAGTCCAAGCACACAGTAATTTAACCCGTTGTTCACATTACACCACTAAAGGGGAGGTATTCTTTTACTTGCCTCAGTTTTTTTTATGATAGCCATGTCACACAAAAAGGAGTGGAGCTTACGTCCTGTTCAGTGATAAAGGGTTATCATCGAATGGACTAAAATGGCAAGCCATGGGAAGTTGTGGGTTTGTGCCGCACTCTCTGAAATGAGAAGTCTCTTTCTTAGCCAGTATACATCAGACGATGAAGTGGCTGTTTGGATTCGCTGCTGGTGATCCTAATTGTGCCATCCTGCCTACCTGTCAAAAGTTGGCTCACGAGGCTGGATCCTGTTTGTTATATTGATACTCTGCCTTTCCACAAAGTGGGAGTGAGGAAGCAGGCTGGTGTAAGGGGGAGGTTATGGGAGAAAAGCAATGAGCAGGGCAAACCCTCTCTCCTCCCATCGCTTCTCCCCTAAAAATGTTCCCTGCAGTGATGTGCTTCGGCCAACGCAACACTGAATCCAGGTCTTTCACAGTAGCTTGTTCACTCCAGCTGTAAGGTGGGTTGTAGATAAATAAAACCAGTAGTCCCTCTGTGTCATTCCTCACCTCTGCTGCTCACTTCTAGGTGTACGTGCTGAAGAGGCCATTTGTTGATGAGTTCCTGAGGCGGATGGGGGAGCTGTTTGAGTGTGTGCTCTTCACTGCCAGTTTGGCGAAGGTGAGAAGGAGGTGGCGGGTTTAGCCTAGACATGGACTTGGGGAATTGGTTGATACTTTCAAAGGCAGCAGAAGCTAAGGCAGAAAGGGTGGCAATGGTGTGCTGTGTCACTTTCAGCTCAGAAGATAAACTGGAGGTGCATATAGACGATTCGCTCTCTCTGTCTTGCTAGAAGACTGGTTTGGGAGCAGCTTTGACTTGGGCTAAACTTGGAGTATTGCCGAAACTTCAGAGCTGTGTATAACCCCGTGCATTTTTCAAAACCCAAACCCTGCAGCAAGAAACACATGGCCTATTGGTACTTGAATAAATTGTGCAAAATGTCAAGTTTGCATATAGTTGTTTGTTTTTGCTTCTCCTAACTGTGAGGAAGAGTGAAGGACCATGCAGAGTATTCAAATCTCCACCACTAACTGACCTCTGGAAGTTCTGCTCAGCCCCTTGGTGGCTTCTGAAATTGCATTGGGCATCACTGAGATCTCCAAATCCATGGGGACTTGAAACTTTAAATGAATGAATGAATGAATTCCATGCCAGATTCCAAATTCCATGTTTGCACTATCTGGCCAGAAGTGGGCAGAGCCCTGCATGTTCTCCTGATTACCCCATGTTGGGTTTCTTGCTTTCTTATGCTGAGCTCTGGTCTTCACACGCTCCTCTTATCACTCTGTTCAGTATGCTGACCCCGTAACTGACCTGCTAGACAAGTGTGGAGTCTTCCGAGCCCGCCTCTTCCGAGAGTCGTGCGTGTTCCACCAGGGCTGTTATGTTAAGGACCTCAGCCGTTTGGGGCGTGATCTGCGCAAAACCTTGATCCTAGACAATTCTCCTGCCTCCTACATCTTCCATCCAGAGAATGCGGTGAGTATGCCTTCAAGAGGGGTGTGTGTGTGTGTTATTCAATAGTAGCTGGTGTTGACTTTTGACTTACCTTGGCAGGAAAGCAGCAAAGGCTCTTTAAATGTGTAAGACTTGAGTTCTTGATAGGTAGGTAGGTTGGTTGATTGGTTTAAAAATCTTTTGATCTGGTTTTAGTTAGAAAGAAAATAATAATAGTTACATCAACACCAGGTGAAAGAAGCTCTCTTAAATAAAGCATTCCCCTTTGTTTCTCACCCCTGCCTTTTAAGATGGTGCTGACTGCAACACTTGTGTGCTAGGTAGGGCCATTCAAAACATGTTCGTTCTCTCTCTCTCTCTCTCTCTCTCTCTCTCTCTCTCTCTTACACACACACACACACACACACACACACACACTTCTGAAGTGGTAAATTCTCAGGAAGGCTGACTGTACCACATCATTTCCCCCTTCAAATCTTCTTTTTTCCTCCCTTCTCTCACGACTCCAGCCAGCTCAACCCCAAAAGTTCTCCAGCGCATGAAATATTCTTCCAAACCTATCCAACAGAGCACATCTACAAGGTTTCCCAGGTGACAATTCATAGCTGTGGCCATAATTGTAGGAGTGAGTGAGCAGTTAGTATTAGTGTGACTAGTTTTGTCTACAACAATTACCTTTCGTGCACCCTGTTTAAAAACTAGGTCTTGTATTGTCACTGTATTTTGAATATTCGCCCGAATACTTTCCAAAGCCCTTTAAATACATGGAGTTTTTTTTTATATATATATGCCTGATGTGAGGGCAAATCTGTCTCTTCTGAGGGGATGTATCCACACTTCATATTAATAGCCAAGTGATTACTGCAGGGTTTGAATTCTGCTCCCAGGTCTTCCTGGTTCCTTAAACATTAGGTCTCTGCTTCCTGTCTACATGCACCGCAGTGCTCCCGACTGACTTCTCCTTGCCCTTTCCGGTTTCCCCGTAGGTGCCAGTCCAGTCCTGGTTTGATGACATGGCCGACACCGAGCTGCTGAACCTGATCCCGATCTTTGAGGAGCTGAGCGAAGCGGAGGATGTCTACACCAGCCTTGGCCAGCTGAGGGCACCCTAAGGCCTTCCTATGCCCACAGAGGAACATTTTCACTCAGTGCCTTCAGTCCTGGCCTGGAGGGGAAGGGGGAGCCGTGGGGATGGTTCTCCGCAACCCCACCGCAAGGCAGATGCAAGCACTTTGGAGGCAATAACCTGAACGGGCAGCGCCAGAGCAGTTTCCAACCAGGGTCTGGCGGATCCCAGAGCCTCTGGCCTTTCCTCCAAAAGCAGGGTCGCCCCAGACCCCGTCCCCAACAGCGCTCGTATCTATGCACTGCGAGGATACAGGGAGCATTGTGAAGACGCGCCATTTCTCCAGGGCTTGGCTTCCTCCATTCGCTGCAGGGTGGTTAGTTCTGGGTGTGGTTTGTGTGGTGTAAGCCGCCGGTTCCTCCTGCCTACCCTCTCCTCTCCTCCTCTAAAGCAATGCCAAAAGATTTGGCTGACCCTTTTCCTTTTGTTATGGAAAAAGCTACCTGCCTCCTCGCTCCCTTTTAGATGCTCCTGAGACTGCTGCTCATCCAGGACGTGGGGCACAGCCATGGGGCCTTATCTCCCAGGCAAGGCAGGGCACTGCCCAATACTCCTAGCCAGGTGTTCTAGCCAGGTGTCCTAGCCAGGTGTCTTTCAGAGGGACCCTCTCCTTCAGCTGCTCAGGCCACTGGATTCCTCGGAGGAGAGGCTTTCCTTACCTTGGATACCTGGTTAGAGAGAGGGGGGAAAGTCTTATTTTTTTATGAGGACTTTTTCCTTTTTTCCTATTCCCTTCCTGCGTTTCCCCTTCAGAGCAGTCTTGGTCCCTAATTAGCCTGTTGGCTTTTGGGAAGCCTTTAACTTCTTTTTATACTGTGTCTTGTGGTTTGGGTTCAGCCCCAGAGGGGAAGGAACCCTTTCAGAAACCCTCGAACGTTAAAACAAACAAACAGTGGCACGAGCGTAGAAAAGGACTAAGGCTAAGTCAGCCGTCCCCTTCCCACAAACTCCACATTGGTTGAGGACCGATGCTGTAGAGATTGCCATATTGCTTCGCTCTGGCCTATTTTTGCTTCTTGGGTGGGGTGTGGGGGGGACACAGACCAGGTCACAGGGTTACTATAAACCTGCCTCAGCACTGTCAGTTCTCCCACCCTCCTTCAGTGCGAATTGCTAGCTTTGAAGGACAGGAGGGTGCTGACGTTTTGCCCGCGGGTGGCTTTCTGGGGGCGGGTGCCACAGAGGTGCCCTGCCTTCCCCACTCAGGACTCGTTCTAGGCTCCATCGTCGTAACTTGAAAAGCCCGGCCCCTCGGGTGGCCTCAGGGAATCATGGACTAGCGTGTTAGGAGCTGGGGGTGGGCAGGGAACGGCCTGCTCCATTGCCTTGCTGTCTTCATTGGGAGAGCGAGGAGGAACGTCGTTGCGGCCTCTGCGCATGAAGAGACAGCGCCTCTCTTTTCTGCCAGGCTTTCTTGGGAAACCAGCCCCAGAGAAGCAGCTGGGCCTTTTTGCCACACTCTTCTTCCCCTCAGCATTTTCACGGCGGCGCCAGCTCTCGAGAAACCAAACGTAGATGTCGATATTACTTGGGAGCGGCCGCTGCCCCGTCCCTTTCTCCGTCTCCCCCCCAGCAATATGGTACGCTGCCTTTCCTAGTCATGTCTCTTAACGTGCTGTGAACAAGTGCTTTCGAAGTGCCATTGGTGGCAAGCAAATACCTTCCGCTCAGCCAGCTTGCTTCTCTCCCTCCCGCTCCCATAAGCAATACATTGCAAGTGACTCCATGCTTCGCTGTTGTGAGGGGTGGGGGCAGGATGGGGCCATTCGGGGTTCTTTTTGTTTCTTTCTGGTGCTGCCTCCTTGGTTTGGATGCGGGGGGGGGCAGGTAGCGTGGGTCACCTCACCACCTGGGGCAGGAAGCTAAACAGCAAAACCAGGGGTGAGGAACCTGTGGCCCATCCAGATGTTGCTGGACTTAGGACTCTCATCGCCCCTGACAGTTGTCCGGAGTGGCTGGTGGGCCCCAACAACATCTGGAAGGCTTCCTCCCTGCTCAACAGGACCAAAGCTTTACAATCCTTCTTGTTGGCTGAGTGAGCAGGCAGCTCTTAGCCTAGCCAAAGTGCTTCTTGAATTTCCGTTGCTGTTTTTTAAGTGTGCTGAATTGGCTACTCCTTGACCTCTGTGTGTGTATGTGTGTGTGTGCTAGGCCTCAAATGGTGCTTGAGACGAGCCTGCGGCTGCCACTTCTCTTTCCTCCTCTTGCTGGCCTTGCTTCCACTATGAGGCGTTACTCTCTTTGCCTCGGCGGCTGTGAAGAGGTTAATGGAGGTGACACACAAGTCCCTAGCTTCGTGGAGGGAAGAGTTTCTTCTCCTCGTAATTTTCCACGACACACAACAGTGAGAGAGCTTTAAACACCTCGAAGTTAATGTGTGCTAGAAAGAACAAAAACCCTTTGTTTTTCCTTCCTGTTTGAGGCTATCCTCGCAGTTGTGTCTTTGCCCTTTGTGTCATCCGAGGAGAACTCACCTCCATTTCCCTCCCTCTCCTCCTCACGCAACCTGCCCGCTCTTGTCCTGGCCTTTTCCTTTTGCTCAGCTCAGCTCCGAAACCCCTTCACTCGATGGGAAAATGTTGCACTCCTGTTTTCTACACTCCTCCACCTCGGCTGATGAAATGTGCTCCAGAATTTCTCCTCCGTCCCAGTCACGGGACTTAAGATTTGGGCAAACGGGTGGAAGTTTTGTCAGTCACAGCGTGGTGGGATCTGTGTGGAGCTGGTTTTAGCTAAGGAGGCCGACACATGATAAATTAAACCGAGCACTCCCAGTTTCAACAAGCTGCGAACGCTTGCTTGTTGAAAGTAATGTGGAACTACAGAGTCTGCCGAGTGATGGCTCCCATCTGGAACAAGCTTGGCTGTGTGAATTAACTCGAGGGCGGAGTCTGCTGATGCCCGTTCTCACTCTGTATCAGGCTTCCTTGGCCTGTTTACTAGCCATGATGATAACCTGAGTCCAATTGCCAATGTTGGGATTGTGCCTTGATCAAACCCATCGAAGAGGCAGCCTAATGCTTAATCAGGGGTGTGCCTTTTAGAGGTGCCCTGCATACGCCTCCTACAAAAGCAAACACACACACACACACACACACACAGTCTTTTGCTGTACCCCCTGCATCCCTTCTTTTCAAACATGCATAGCTGGTGGCTTTTGAGTAACAGAGCCCAGGGCTTCCCCCTTCTGTCCCCACCTCATAGAAGTATGAAAACATCAGTTGCCTTAGTCATGTGTCCTCACTTGCTGGGTGGTTTTTCTTTTTTAAAATTTTGTTTTAATTGAAAAAAAAAAAAGATATCCCAAAACTTGAAGCCGGCACTGCTGCCATTTCGATCTCTTTCTATTTTTGGAATCTTTGTATTAACTGCAAATTAAAGAAATAATAAAAGAGAGCAGGTGTGTGTCTCCTCTTTTTCCTAAGTCTTTGAGCAGAGTGGATTCTGGAGGCCTAATGCAATATTCTTTTGAAGCTGGGCGGCAAAATTTTGGGAGGTAAAACTTCCTTCCCCCGGCTGCAGAAAAGAATCTAGCTCTGCAAGGCTGCTTTACCGCAGACAAGGCTGGTTCACACATGACAACTGGAATAACAGGTGAGAGCTTAGGAGCCACAAAGGGAGCTTAGGAGCATCTCAATGCAGTTCTTGTCCTTGGAAAGCAAATTTGCACATTTGCCGCCCTTTACGAAATGAGAAATCAAGTGATGCAGGAGCATATCAGAGCTAGAGGGTAGTCAGTGTTGGGGGTGGGGAGCTATGGACAATTACATTTCACTGGAGGGATTTGAGTCATTTGTTAAAAGTTACTGAGTGCTATAATCCAAAAACATGGGGGAAAGTGAAGGGGTGTGTGGAGAGAAGCAGAAAGCATTTTAATTTTTAGAATTCAGAGGAGGGATAACTGATGGGAATGGGATCTAGCAGCTTCATCTATGAACTGTGAAGGTTTGCTCTCCCCTGACTTCATCCCTTGATTTTTCGCTTACTGTATTTTTCGCTCCAAAAGACGCACCTGACCATAAGACGCACCTAGTTTTTAGAGGAGGAAAGGGGGAAAGCCTTGTTTTTGGGGCGATCAGCTCAAAGTTGTGCAGCTTCTTTTGCAAAGGGGAAAAGCCCCCTTTTGGGGGGATCAGCTCAAAGTTGTTGAGCTTACTTTGCAAAGGGGAAAAATCCTGTTTTCATGGGGCTCAACTCATAGTTCTTTATCTTCTTTAGGAAAGGAAAGGGAGCTGTTCCTACAGTTTCTAGACAGATAATCTAATTAGGGGGAAACCGCCTCCGTCTGCAGAACATTCAACAATGGAGGCCTGGGCAAGGGGGCGAGACCAGAAAGGGAGCCAGCGATCGACCACACATTTACTCCAAAAGACGCACAGACACCTCCCCTTACTTTTTAGGAGGAAAAAAGTGTGTCTTATGGAGCGAAAAATACGGTACCAACCAATGAACTCCATGTGCAAAACCAACTGCAGGACTTGGTTGGTTATTGTCAGGGAACTGCCATCGGAAGGAAGGGAGGTGAAAGGACTCAGACAGGTTGGAAGAGACTCAGCAGCTGAAGAGGGAACCAGCAAGGGGAGAGAAGCTGAACTGAGGGAGGTGAAAGGGCTCAGACAGGTTGGAAGAGACTCAGCAGCTGAAGAGGAAACCAGCAGGGGAGAGAAGCTGAACTGAGGGAAAGGGAGCTGGGGGATGGCTCAGAGATACTTCCAGCGAAAACAGTGGTGAGGTTTCCGGACCTCCTGTAGGGACACCCACTCCTCGCCGGAAACTGTCACGCAGAGAGTCCAGAAGACGTGTTTCCGTTAAGGAGCTTTTATGTTGGAAGCGATTACGAAAGCAACCACTGTCGGAATCTTCTAGTGACTAGAGGAGCCATGTCAGAGGGGCTCCGTCACAGACAGAGGTTTGTGGACTTGAACAAACACTGAGGGAATACGATTTTACGCACAAGCAGCTCATCTTCCCATCACAGCATTCCGACAGTCTTTGAACGCAGCTTGTGCAGGAGAAGGCATAATGAGCAACCCAGCAGGAACCGGAGAAGCAGGGGCTGGAGCGGGTCCAAGCCTGGAAGAAAGGTACCGGGTGTTGGAGGTCCAGCTGGCGCTGCAGACGGCGAGGCTGGAGGAGAGGAGGGCTCAAGATGCAGACAAAAGGGAGAAAGCCACCCAGCTCGCCAGAAAGGTACCAGGATTGGTGCAGAAATTTGGGGGGGAGCCCAAAGACTATCATAGCTTTCGGACAGAAATGCAATATGCCCTCAATCTGCAGTTTGATGATTTCCTGATGAGGAATCACGAGTGGCTTTTGTGATTGGGCATCTTGAAAAGGGGGCGAGAGACTGGGTTAGACCCCTGATGGCAGCGCATAGTGACGTCCTAAAGGACACGATGAAGTTCTTTCGCGCCATGGATCTGATGTTTTCCAGCGATATTGAAAAGGGAGTGGTGCGCAGACAGTTAATGGCTTGCAAACAGGGGAGCCGATCTGTACGTGAGTACTGGACTGAGTTCACCATGCTGATACACAGATTGGGGTGGGACTTATCGGCGGAACCCATTCAAATGCTCTTTGAAGAAGGGCTTTCTTCGGCTGTGAAAGATGAACTTTCCCGGGCGCCCAGGGCGGAGTCCATGGACCAGCTGACCAAATCAGCGCTGGCCATAGGAGCGCGCCAGGAGGCGAGAGCATTGGAGAGGCGGGAAGGGAAAGGGGAACGTTGGAAGGAGTTCCGCATTCCAGACATTCCAGAGCCAACTTTCCCGCCGGCAGAGCCGATGGAAATCGGAACAGCGCGCACGCGCGCAGTTTCAAAGCCCAGTGAGGGGGGAAAAAAGGAGGGAAAAGGCGCCCGGAAATGCTATCTCTGCCAACAGCCAGGGCACTTTGCCAGAGTCTGCCCCCAGAGGAAGGAATGGCAAGGGATGGTGGGAGCTGTGGAGGGAAGAGAGGTAAAAATACCGGAGCAACTAAAAGCCAACGCCTGGCTGCCATTGTCGGGGCACAGCAGCCAGGCCAAAGAGCAGTGAAAGTGCCCACGCCAGAACCTCCTAAACCCGCCCTAGTGATAGAAGTGACACTAGAGCTGCCAAACGGACACCCTCTAAAGATAAAGGCGCTGTTGGACTCAGGCAGCTCCTGCAATTTCATGAGCAAAGAGTTTGCAGCTGAACACCAGATACAGACGCTCCCTTTAAGCAACCCCCTGCAGGTAACCACGATCGATGGCAGGGAGCTGTTGGGAGGAGAAGTCAGCTTGCAGACCGTCCCAATGATAATGAAGGTGGCAAGGCACACCGAACTAATAGCATTTAATGTGGCCACCTTGGGAGGAGCTCCCATTATATTGGGGATGAGCTGGCTAGCGTTACATGATCCGCTGGTGGGCTGGCATCAAAGAGTGGTTTCTTTTGGGTCAGCACATTGCTTAGAACACTGCAAAGAGGGAAAGGTTTTGGCAGGGGCCCAAGCCACCCTAGCAGGGACTGAAGTAACGGAGAACGTGAAGGTACCACGACAATACGCAGATCTCCGCGACGTCTTCAGCGAAAGGGAAGCTGACCAACTACCACCGCATAGAGCCTTTGACTGTCAAATCAATTTGCTCCCTGGGGCACAGCTCCCTGTGGGCAAGCTGTACGCCATGTCAGACAGAGAGATGCAGGAGCTAAGAGAGTTCATTGACAAGAACCTGAAGAGAGGGTTCATCAGAGAGTCCAGGGCGGTGGGGGCAGCCCAGTGTTTTTGTGGACAAAAAACACGAACAAGCCGAGACTGGTGTGTGACTTCAGGGCCTTAAATGCAGTGTCAGAACCAGTGGCCTTCCCGATGCCCAGGATTGACGACATTTTGACAAGGGTGCGGAAGGGAAAGATTTTCACCAAGCTGGATCTAAGGGGGGCGTACAACCTGATACGAATAAGGAAGGGGGATGAATGGAAAACCACCATGTTCACCCCTTTAGGGGCATTTGAATACTTAGTTATGCCCTTCGGTCTACAAGCAGGCTCCGCAACATTTCAATCGTTTATGAACCACGTCCTGGGGCCGTTGCTTTACAAGAATTGTGTGGCCTTCTTGGACGACGTGTTGGTGTATTCTGAGAATGAGGAGCAGCATGTGAGAGACGTCAGAGAAGTGTTGAGCAGGCTGCAAGCCAACCAGCTGTGGGTGAAACTGGAGAAGTGTCAGTTTCATACCAAGGAGGTGGAATTCCTGGGGTATCGCCTGTCTGACAAGGGGTTGGCCATGGATCCCGGCAAGGTCCAGGCGGTACTGGAATGGAAAACACCCAAAACAAGGAAGGATGTGCAGAGGTTTTTAGGATTTGGGAACTTCTATCGTAAGTTCATCCCAAACTTTGCCCACCTGACGGCGCCCATTACGGACTGTCTCAGCAGTAAGAAGAAGTTCGCTTGGACGGAGGAGGCGGAGCAAGCATTTGAGGAACTAAAAGGGCCTTCGCCTCGGAACAACAGCTCCTGCATGTGGATTTACAAAACCGATGAGAGTGGAAACTGACGCATCAGACAGAGCGGTTGGGGCGGTGCTTCGCCAGCCACGGAAGGAGGAGTCAGAGTGGAGACCGTGTGCTTTTTTCGCGAAAGCTGAACAAATCCGAGAGGAACTACACGGTGTATGACCGAGAACTACTAGCCATTCATGAGGCGTTCCGGAGATGGAGGCACCTGCTAATTGGCGCACAACATAAGGTGCAAGTGTGCACTGACCACAAGAACCTAGAGTATTGGAGGACGGCACGAGTGCTCAACCAACGGCAAGTGAGGTGGGCCCAGGAATTCTCCAAATTTAACTTTGAGATTTGTTACGTGCCAGGCCCAGAGAACATTAGGGCGGACGCCTCTCACGCAAACCTGAATATTTGGAGGGGGAGGGAGCACCCGAAGAGAGACATGTCATTCCAGAGGACCGCTGGGTGTGTGGGGCGGCATTGGTGGGACAAAGAGAACTGGTAGAAGAAACAGAGAATGATGAATACGCCCAGAATAAGCTCAGAGGTCTTAGGGATGAGGGAGAGGAATCAAGGGGTTTCGAGGAAAGAAATGGAGCTTTGTATTACAAAGGGGCACTGTATATCCCTGAAGGAGACTTAAGGGGGAGGGTACTCAAGCAGTTGCATGACAGCCCCACGGCGGGGCATTTTGGGCAACACAAAACCATGTGGTTGGTCACCAGGGAATTTTGGTGGCCTAAGGTGAGGGAGGATGTACGTGAGTATGTAAGAGGGTGCGAGCAGTGCCAGCGAGCCAAAGGGGAAAGGCGAGCGCCGGCGGGGCTATTAGAACCCTTACCAACACCAGAACGACCTTGGGAGGCAGTGTCGATAGATTTTATGACTGATCTGCCGAAGTCCAAAGGGAAAACAGCCA